TTTATGTCAACGCAGAACGCAGCGGGAGAGTGGTGAAAGCGGGGACTAAGGGGAAGGGATTGGTTTTATAAATCAGACTGGACTGTGGGCTTGCTTACGTCATTCGTAAATCATGGGGGTACTCCACGCGGGGAGGAGGCGCGTGGGAAGAAGGATGGATGGATCACATGGGCAGTAAATGACCATGACGTCACATTGACTTCGACGTGGAACGGTAAGATTGCGCCTTGACGTAACCAAAAGATAAAACCCGCACGCACTGCCACTCTGGTAAAAAAATGTTTAATTTTAATTGAATTTAAAAGCTCGTCTGAYGTGGAATTCATGCTGACCAGTGACGCTGGGACCCACTACTATGACATGATCATCGGAGAGAACCTTCGCTTTCCTMGTCACTATGACGATCCCTTCCTTACACGTGGCTTCCCCCATTTACTTTCCTCTCCTCATGGAGACGACGTCGTAAAGCTGAAAAATTAAAACCCCATCCCATGGTCCCACGTCTATGCGCCACGTGGCTTCCCAGCATGGTAAAACTAAAACCCTATCTTACGGATGGAGCGTGGGCCCTACCAATAAAGTCCACGTTATACATCCACCGTCCATGGTGGCAACTATGGTGTCTGCCATATTTGGAGAAGATGATCAAGCCATTACATCACACTCCCCATCCTTGGGCCCTCCCTCGAAAGTTCCTCAATCTTTTTCTTAGTCTAGGTGTTTGATTCTTTTATGCAGGTCTTTTTTTATCTAATAACATTTAAACTTGAATATATTTTGGTTAGATTCGACATTTATCGATTTTGTTGTACAAACATTCAATTCGCACCCTTTTTTTATTCTATCCAGTCCAATCGTGTTCATGCATTTTACTATATCACACTAAACCCCACAAGTTTAAACAATTCATCCATGGTCGTCCATTGTATTATGTGCCCATTAATTATTATGATTTTTATATACTCTTTGTGGGGTGGGGAGTAACTTCGCACAAAATCGAAGGCTCTAGCTTGTTTTTTCCTGTGTGATTTGATTTGTGTGTTGTGTTGTGTCGTCATGCATCCATAAAGGTGTCAAATAAATCCCACACGCATAAATAAATAAATAAAAAGAAAAAACCCATTACATATCCCCTCCTTCTCTTCGTCATCTTCTACATCATCGTATTTATTGCCAAAACTATATTCCCCCCTCCATTGTTCATTAATATGTCACACACAGAATCTCCAACCCCATTCCTCCCCTCTGTTTAGATKGCGCGTGGGCCCCACCTTCCAATAATTAAGTATGGACCATGGTTATGGTCGTGCTGTGCAAATTTAATGCAAGTGGATGATTGAGGAATGAGTTTCAAAATCATAATTTAAAGGAAAAATGTTGAGTAGGGGGAAAGTGACGTACTTTTTTTTTGGGYAGTGGAAAATATGAACGATGGAGATCTTTAATTGCAATTTACAAGTTGTCCCCAAAAAAAAAGGAACTAATGCCGACCAAGTACTACGTAGTATTACTTTATAGGATTCCCCTAGCTACCTATCTTTCTTCCATTTCTCAATCGTCTTCTTAATTATTTTCAAAGCTGAAGCGATGTCGTTTTCCACTCGTGGCCTCCATGTATTATTGTATGGTAATAATAATTTACAATTACAATACAATACAACACAACCCCCACGTGGATACACCACATGCCAACACTTACCAGAAGCCCATAAGTCAGGAGGAGGGAGCGGGTCACGGGTGGGATCCGGGTCGGGGGCCCAGCCCATAACATATTTGTGTGGAATACGCGTGGGTTTGGGTTTCGGCGTACGTTAGTGACGTGGGCGTTCACGAGTGGTTGCTTTCAAATTCCTCCTTAAATCTGTCGGCGCCGCTGGGCAGCCCCGATATAGAGCCCCAATTTTATCTTCTATTTTATCTTTCTTTTTTTTTATTTTTTTAATACAGTATTTTAAAATTTAAACTCGTTGACTGTGTTACCGTGACACATGGGTGACGCCAACTGACATGACAGTCACAGGTCACCGCCTGGCGCCGCTGACGCCATGATCTGAATCTGTGTCGGCCTTGCCTTCTCGCTCCCCACGTAGCCGGTAGCCCCCTCCTCCACCGATCTCCACCCTACACGTGTCATCCGAATCATCACCATGATTGACAAATCAAAGAATGACAGTGATAAAAATCMAATAGTGAAAATTTGAAGAAAGAAAAAGAGAAGATCGGGTAACGTGGGAGTGTGGCGAGCAGTGGAGATTTCTATTTTTTTTCCTCTTCTTTTGAATCTAAAGTCGGAACTTTACGCAAACAATTTTAATTTATTGGGATGGAGTTTTGTCGTATTCACACCAGTAATCTGGCATGGAAAACTGTGTACTATTTATTATTTACACCTCAAGAAATTGCTTCCTGTTTCCCCCAACTTCTTCTAATTATTATTATAATTAATACAATACTTAAAATCATATAATTAAATAATTAACGTAAAGGAGGAAAAAAAAAAGGAATAAGTGAGAATTAAAATTGGGTCCGAGGGGAAAACGACAAAGGAAGAAGGAAGAAGGAAGGACTCTTCATATTCGGAAAGGTTATTGAAATGCATGTGATGGGTGTAGGGTATTTTGTCTGTGTGTGTTTTGTAATTATTATTATTATTATTATTATTAATAAAGTAATACTCAGATTATTGCATTTGGATTTTATAACCAAGTGGGACATTGGGTTTCTGTGTCACATTTTCGCACCCACCCCCTTTTTTTTTCTTAACAAATCTAATATTACTTATAATATTTAAATCAGTATCCTTTTTCCCCACACTAACCAACAATTACCCACTATCGGTTTTATTAATCATATAGCGTAAATAATTTGCTTGACCAAATCATATATTTTGTCTTAATTTATTAGCTTCTCTGATTTTTTTTTTTTAAAGGATATTAGCTTCTCTGATTAAAAGCGTTTCAATGTACGACTTCTTTTTTACTTTTCGAAATAYAATTTTATTATTATTTTTTTCAATTCYAAAAACGCCCTTGTGAAGCTGACGTTTCGGGAAAGCGGGCTATGGTACTGGTTTGGGCCGAATATTGAGCCCATCATATTTTGGGCGAAGGTCCAGGCCCATTTTCTCGTACTCTCTCCCTCCGAGGATAGGACATCTTCCATCCACAAGTTCTGTAGTCGTTATCACCAGAAAAATGGAATGGGAAATTGGATTGGGCCCTTGGGCTAATAATGGCCACTCTCTGGAATTTTCCGGTCAGCCGCCGATCAGTGTCCGGTGGCTCCCGGAACTTCTGATGTCTCGGAAGTATTGCTTCTGCAAGTTTAAGAAATTGCATCGTCTCAATGTTCGCGCGAAAGAAGAGCAACTGCAATGTACGGCTGGCGATACTTCTTCAGTCGTCTTGTTCGACCAGCGGCTCGCTGACAGTTGAGGAGTAGATAAGGCGGATCCGCCTGCATTTCTCACGAAGATGTTTGAGATGGCGGAAGATCCGGTCACGGTCTCCATTGTTTCGTGGAGCAGAGCGCGCGAACGCGGTTCTGTTTCGGAATTCTTTCACGCTGTCGACGCTCGCTTCCTCGCAACTTGGAGCATAGTAAATTTCTCCAGCTTCATTAGTGAACTGAATGAATACTAACGTGATGTAAATAAATTATTGCAAATTTATCAGTTTGGTACTCTGATATCGTATTTTGAGGAAAATGTGAATTGTTGCATCTCCTTTGAGTCCTTTGCTTACCTGATATCTCAAGTGGATTTTCTTTCGTCTCGATGAATAGTTAAATTGTTGAGACTAAGGTAACGCGAATCTACAGTCTGTGGGTGATAAGAAAATCAAACACGTATAGTTTTTAATTTTTGGAATTGCACTTTTCTTATTGGGACTCAGCGCTCTTATTAGTGTGCTCAAGTTAATGCAGGGTTTCAGAAGAGTTTATCCGGATCGTCGGGAATTCGCGAACGATGGGTTTCTGGAAATGCAGAGACATGTACTGGACACCATTAGAGGAGAAGGCAAGTGTCCATTTTCTGAAATTGTGAATTTCAGACTGCAGCAGCATAATCACTGGCAACAGAGAGGAAGAAACAAAGTATAGATCATACCTTCCTTCAGAAACTGTTTCAGGGAGGCGCGTTCGGAAAAGAGAATTTCCGGACGATAAGATTTCGCTCAAGAGGAGACTACCTACAGGACCAAGTAGGGAGAATTTGCAAGATATAGCTGCATCAGAGGATTCTACTGCTGTACAAGCTCTTTATTTGACAAATCAAGATCAAGAATAATCTAAAGTTGAACAAAATGCTTACCTGACATTCGTCGAATATATATGGTTGGCTTCTCAATATTCTAAAAACTCGTATGTTTTGAATAACAATATTATTTTCAATCCTTATTTGGATTCTCTAACTGTGTGGTTATTTTGCAGGAGAATTCAAGTGAGGAAATCCAAGAGCCGAAGCATATCAAGTTAGTTTCCCTTCCATTAGTGACTCTTCACCGTTTCCACTCTTCTGCTTTAGGAATTTGTGTACGTAGTTTCTAGAGGAGATGAGATTCTTTTTTCGAAAAAGTGAAACACTTCCAACAAAAAGTAAAAAGCACCAAGTTCTTCCTTAGAATAAACACTACTTTTTAATGTTCTTTAGATCTCTAGAATTATATTTTGGTACGTAGCTAAACATAACGAAAATTTGAAAAAAGAAAAATGAATTACTCTGAAGGAAAAGAAAAAGAAAAACAATTTAATTGTCCAGGAATGCTTTTGATTGTGTTAATATTTCCTTTGAAAGTTAGAGAAGTAATATAATTCAAGCTTGGCCATGTATGTCTAAGTCAATCACCAAGAACCCTGTCAAGTGTCATTTTTCTTTTTCCTCAAGCTTTTACAAATCTAAAATAATATTTATATAAAGTATTAGAAAACAAAAAAGAGTCCCAAATCCAATGGCCAATCCCATTCCCAATCCCATCAAGTTATCAGACTACTCAAGTCTGGCTGGTCCAGTGCCACTCTGATTTTATCTGCATGACAAAGTGCGCGTGCGGGTCAAGACTGTGACAATCTGAATGCTTTCTCATTCCATCTTTGAAACTCACATTCCATCATTTCGAGTCAATAACTCTCTTATCCCCATTCCCCATATCTTTTGTTTTACACGCTCCTACCCTACCATTATCCCTACACTTTCTCAAAGTCACAAGCCACGCCCCATCCATCCGTCCATCCATCCGTAAATGCATTCATGCATCATGGAAATATTAAAAAGTATGGACTTTTGTGTAGGGGTATAAAGAAAAAGAACCAAATACTTGAGACAAGGACAAATCCTGCTGCATCGTATAAATATTGTGTCTGTTCCTCTCTCCTACCCATTTACGACAAAACTACCTCAAAGAGAATCTTAATCTTCCACGGTAGATCCAAGCCTATAAGAATATTCGTTATATTTTATGAAAATAACGATGTACACATTATTTTATTCTTTGCTTTCAAGTTTGGAATATTGCCATACGAATTTGCTGTCTCAAGTTCTTTTACATCATAAAGATAAGCTGTACCTTTCCCCATCGTGGGAGTGCATGATACACATTGTATTATATACCACACTCACACCAAATGTTGAGACTTTAGACCGCCTCTGATAAATTTATGTCTCTTCAGTTCTATCCTTCCTTTTTTAGGGGGTGTAGAAGAAAACTACCGGCACTAGATGAGATGGTATTGAGTTTTACTCCACTAAAGCCTTCTTTTTGCTGCTGAATTTGTCGAGTGTAATATTGAGTTGAATTCCTTTTTGGGATTTGTGTTGAAAATTATGGGAAAAAGCGAAATAGACTGCAGAATATGATGAATTCTTCACCATCCAAACATTTCAACGATACAGAATAACAATAGAATAAAAAGGAATTCGCTGGTCGTTTCATTATTTCCACCCATTTAATCATTCGTGTACCGACAAAAGAACCTAGCGTAGTGAAACTCCCACTGCCGCTTCCTTCCCAATTTCATTTCCCTCCCCAATTGCCTTATTTAAACACAAACGCAGCACTCCCAACGAAAACAAACTCAACAGTCAACGCGCTCTCTCTCTCTCTCTCCCCTTTTCCTCTTTTTGGATGTCGGAAAAAATGGACGGTTTTCTTCAAACAGTGATGGCGAGCATACCTTTGGGAGTGGGTGGAATACTATTCACGGCGTTGTGCGTCGTGGCGGGGGGTTTGGTTTATTTCTATGGACCGTACTGGGGAGTGAGAAGGGTGCCTGGTCCACCAGCTATTCCACTGGTCGGGCACCTCCCCTTGCTGGCTAAGTATGGCCCAGACGTTTTCTCAGTCCTCGCCTCTCAATATGGCCCTATCTTCAGGTCAGTTTCCTGTGTCTTGTGTCTTCATTCATCTGCTTCTGACTTCTCTATCTCAAAACTTCTTCCTTCTGAGATGATCACTAAACGACGTCGCTTGCCTTGCCTTACCTTGACTGTGCAATTAGGGGGATAGTCAATAGTGTAGGCATCGTCTGATTCTATTCACTCTGCACGCTCGAAAAAGCTTATCTGTACGTAAAATCATCAAATGTAACGGACCAAGTATTTATTTATTTATATTCCCTTTAATTTTCAAACTCGATTGATGGCTGCATGGTAGAAAAGGGGAATTGATATCTGTTGATGTGAAATGGAAAGATAAGTATACTGTGGCCATATTCAATGATTGTAATAATCTGCTCGTGGGCAATGGTTTGATGGTATGGCAACGCAATGTAATTCGTTTGCCGACATTAAAAGCTACTTGCAAAGACTGTGATGAGTGTCGTGGGAGAGAAAAGTTGCTTCTGTTTGTATTAATGAAATTTCAATGAATTTTAATCGAGCAGGTTTCATATGGGTAGGCAGCCACTAATCATTATTGCAGACCCTGAGCTTTGTAAAGAAGTTGGGATTAAGAAATTCAAGGACATCCCAAATAGAAGTGTCCCTTCTCCAATATCAGCTTCCCCTCTTCATCAGAAGGGTCTTTTCTTCACAAGGTACTTTTATAAATTCTTTTTCTTGAGGAAACAAAGGATGTATCGACGGCTTATTGCCTCTAGTTTCACGTTACAGGGATGCAAGATGGTCGACAATGCGAAACACGATATTATCGGTCTATCAGCCCTCTCATCTAGCGAGCCTAATACCTAATATGCAATCAATCATTGAAACTGCAACTCAAAATCTCCATTCCTCTGAAGAGAAAGACATCCCTTTCTCCAATCTCTCCCTCAAATTGACCACTGATGTGATTGGAACAGCAGCCTTTGGAGTTAACTTTGGGCTCTCGAATCCACAAGCAACCAAAACTGCTACCAGTGGTCAAGACAACAAAAGTGATGAGGTTTCAGACTTCATCAACCAACATATTTACTCCACAACGCAGCTGAAGATGGATTTATCAGGTTCCTTCTCAATCATACTGGGACTACTTGTCCCTATACTCCAAGAACCATTTAGACAAGTCCTAAAGAGAATACCATTCACCATGGACTGGAAAGTTGACCGGACAAATCAGAAGTTGAGTGGTCGGCTTAATGAGATTGTGGACAAGAGAATGAAGTGTAACGATCGAGGTTCAAAAGACTTCTTATCACTCATTTTGAGAGCAAGAGAGTCAGAGACAGTGTCAAGGAATGTCTTCACTCCAGACTACATCAGTGCAGTCACGTACGAACACCTACTTGCTGGATCAGCTACCACGGCGTTCACGTTATCTTCAGTTGTATATTTAGTTGCTGGACATCTAGAAGTTGAGAAGAAGTTGCTTGAAGAGATTGACAACTTTGGTCCGTCAGATAAGATACCAACAGCTAATGATCTTCAGCAGAAGTTTCCATATCTTGATCAGGTCAAGTAATTTGGGTATTGTTATCGTTTCTATCGTTTAAGACCTCTAACATGAAGGACTTTCGTTGTTATCGCGCAGGTGATTAAAGAGGCTATGAGGTTCTACACTGTTTCCCCTCTAGTAGCCAGAGAGACATCGAAAAACGTGGAGATCGGTGGATATCTCCTTCCAAAGGTACTGTTTTGGAACTCAAATGCAATGAAAAACCAACTGATGCATCTTCCTTGTCAAGAAATTTAGTTGATTAATCTAAATAATTGGAAGAAACTACTTTCTGATGATGACAGGGGACGTGGGTTTGGTTAGCACTTGGAGTTCTTGCCAAGGATCCAAAAAACTTTCCAGAACCAGATAAGTTCAAACCAGAGAGGTTTGATCCAAATGGGGAAGAAGAGAAACAAAGGCATCCATATGCTTTAATCCCATTTGGAATTGGTCCTCGAGCATGCATCGGTCAAAAATTTGCCCTCCAGGAGTTGAAGCTCTCGTTGATTCATTTATATAGGAAGTTCGTCTTTCGACATTCCCCCTCCATGGAACAACCTCTTGAACTCGAGTACGGTGTCATTCTCAACTTCAAGAACGGTGTCAATCTCAGAGTGTTAAACCGTATATAGAGGTACTACATGATCTATGGCCAAAACCTAGACCAGGAGTGAAACTTTAGCCCCCAGTTTGTACTCAAGTATGAAAGTAATCCATTATCAAAACTATGTAACAGAAGTTTATCTATGTAACATTACTTCCAAAAAGTACTCCAATTTCATCCATTGCTTCAATCAAATCAGGCCAAGATTAGATCATATTGACATTATTGCATTACACATCTATCCCATGGCCAAAACAAGGATTATCCAAAGAGTTCTAAACAAATTAAGCAGAAGTGGGAAAAACAAGGATGATAACAAAAGACCACCAAGAGCCTATAATACAAAGAACGAGCCATTCTCCATTGGACGCACATGCAGGTTTTTTAGCTTAGTTCCATTCTTATACACAATCTTGATGGCAGAAATTATGAAATAAGGCAGAGATAGAACTCTTAACTCTTGTAGAATGACCAGAAACAGGTTTTCATCTCACAGCTGAATGAAGCCTCAATCTAATTGTTCAATACCTTAGCTTAGTTCCATTCTTATCCAGTCGAGTTGGCAGCATCAATGGCTTAAAGGGATTGACTGAAGAATCAGAGCCTGCACTGCTCTTAGAATCCGCATTTGAGAAAGCTGCTGACTTCTGAAGGAATTGGTACTCATCCATGGACTGCCTTTGAACTCGGTGCGACAAGTGACTACTTGTTCTCTGCTTCGCCTTTGTCGACTCGGTAAGGTTCATGTAACTCGGCCTGCTGTTACTGCTGTTCTCTGTTCTTTCTGCAGCTGAGAAAGCGTGCCCTGAGGCTGGAGTTGTCGACGTGCAGATTGAAGATGAAGCAGAGCTCTCGTCGTACCAGAAGTCGGAACTCGGGCTGGAACAAGAACGAGCTTGTCCACTTGAGGCAGGTCTAGCAGAAATCCTGGTCGATACATTGTTCTTTCTAACTTTCACCAGACTTGGTTCAGAACCTTTGGAATGTTTAGAAACGACAGACTCCGTACAGCTCTTTGAAGGCGGAGTGGCCTCCAAGGAATCGGTGCGAGATTGTTCCATCAACCTCGTCTCCCATGGCTTCGCTGCCATCCACCTCTCCAACCAAGTCCATCCCCAATTGTTCTTGTCGAACTCGTAATTCTTGAGAGCATAAATCGAAGCATTTATTTGCGATGTCGAGCTAGGTGTTGACTTCAATTGCTGGAGAGCGAAAGATAAACAAACAAAAAAGAACCAAACTGAAACGTACTTTCTCGAAAGCAAATCCGATACAATCATCGACAAAGAAGAGTAATCTCGTAAATACCTTTTGAACAAGAGAGTATGCAATTGCTCTCTCCCTCTTAAATGCTCCATCTTGCCTCATTTGTAACTTAGCTTTGATATCTTGCAATGTCCCTTTGCTATCACACCAACCTTCCTGCAAATGAACCAAATTGTTACTTCATTTCTCAGCTCCATCTTTTTACTTACAAATCAGAATGACATCTCATCCTTGTAACAACCTCAGCTTGCTTCAAGAGATCAGCCTTGCTGTGACGCTCGTCGAGCATTTGCTGCACAGCCTGCCCCTCGACCGACATCCTCACACGCCGAGCCCTGACTCGAGCTTGGACTCGAACCAGAGCCTGCATGCACCTCAGCGTCACGGCCGCCTGCTTCCTCACCAAACGACCCCGAACCAGAGCTTGAAGCCTCACCACTCCCTTCAAGGCCCTAAGAGCCCTCCTAGACTGCAACAAAATTCACTACCAAATCAGCCATTTGAAGTGGAAGTGGAACTAACCAAGAACACCATTATTCTAGTTTTCATATCAAACAATTTGATCTTACAATTCGAAGGGAAGAAGAAGAATGAAGTAGTACCAAGAAACCACGAAATGCCGTTTGGATTCGGATTGCAGCCCATTCTTGGCGGACAGCCCTGAAGTTTTTGGGCGGAGCCCGGAGGACGGTGGCGACGGCGGCGGTAAAAGAATCAGCCGCCCGCGGCGAATTAGAGCCTTCAGAAGCTGCCTTATGAAGCCCTTTGTAGCCCTTCCAAGCAGAGCTCAAATCCCCTGATGGGCTCCTCCATAGCCTCCATTTCTTAGCTTTACTACCCAACTTCTCCTGCAAAAAACACAACCCAAAGATCAATAATACTGCGAACTTTGAAGGTGAAAACAGAATCCCAAATGTTGCTCCTCACATTGTCCTCTTTGTCGGACTTCCTGTGCCCCATAAGAGCCTTCATCCATTTCCCAGAACTCCCCATGAAAGCAGAGGAGAAACAGAGCACCAACAATAAATGAAGCTGAAAAAATGGTATCAATCGATAGTGAAAACTTTGGAGGAAACAAAAAATTCCGAGGCTTTTTGGGTAGGGGAAAATGTTAGTCTCAAATACAGAAATCCAAAGAATTGAAAAGAAGTTCGTGGGGTGGTGGAGAGAGAAGTTAGTGAAAGTGTTCAAACGAGAGCTTCGCATTTGAAATTCAAAAAGGGGAATGGAGGAGACTTAGTGGGGCTTCGTCCCGCTCGATTTCGTCGGACTTTGCTTTTTGGCCCTCCGTTTTTTATGATATTACGAAATTAGTCCCCTCGAAGAAATAAATAAATAGATAAAATTTAGTAATTTACTTCCATGAAAAGGCACGCAATCTGAATTCTGCAATCCGACAAATCTTCCTCTAAACTCAGTTGTTTAATGCCACTCCTCTAGTTTCATCAATGCCTGATTCGGCAATCTCCACCGTCCATCTCACCTCCGCTTCCGAATCCAAAGCTCTAATTCCCTTTTCTAACTTTAAATAAGTGTCGTAATATTTACTTTAAATTTAAATAATTATTACAATCTTAATCTTTTAATAAGTTTTTTGGTGTGAAAATTTGTATTATTATGGAATGATTTATAAAACATACTTTAAGTACAAAGTTAGTTTTATTTTAAAGAAAAATGACGTTTTTTTATTTGAATTAGTGAATTTTGATAGAGTTATTCCATGGTTAATTTTATGTATTAATTAAATTTAAATTTGTGCAATATTATATTTTTATTAAAATTAGTAAGTTATTTTTTAGTACAAACTTGAGTGAGTTTCGAAGATTTCTAGGTTATTTTTTTTAGTTATTGGATGAACTAGCAAACATGGAACAATAAATTAAAAATGGTATAACTTATCCAAGTCTTAAGATTCAGTTTAATAAAATTGAAAATTTATAGTAAAAGTATATATATTGCCCATTGTAGGAGTAAAAGTTTATTTTTCCCTTCTTATTTTACATATATTTTTAAAACTTATCTAAGTATTTCCTATATGAGAATTCAAAAAATATATATTCACGAGACTGTGACATTTTATTTTGACTCTGGTTCATTTTGTCACTGTACTTTCAAAGCGTCTATTTTGGTTATTGTACTTTTAAAAAGTTATCATTTTGGTTCAGTCATTCTTATTTTTATCTCATTTTATTTCGATCACGATTTTAGCATAATATTTCACTCACTAAATTTCTTTAGATGTAACTATAAATTTGTATTAAAACGAATAAAAACTAAAAGTAAAGAGACTTAGACGAATGTTTTGAAAATACAATGACTTAAAATAAACCAAAGTCAAAAGTATCAAGACCAAAAAAAAATATTTAAATCTAAAATAAACTTAATTGATAATGCAATTACTGTATATAAACCAAAAATGTAATTTAACAATAATTAGAAATGGTTTTCACTTTGTAGATGTAGAAGCCACGCTCTATAAATAATCTGAGTGTGATTTAACAATAATTTGCAATTGCCGGCCTCTCATAAATAATCTGTAAATATAATTAATTATTTCACAAAAAAATCTGTTCTCTTTCAAAAAATAAAAAGAGTAATCTCATTCCATAAATTTTTTTTTCTGTAATTCTAACTTTTAGAAACATTTTAAAAAGAAATTAGCCATAATTTCATAACCAAATTTTAAATATTTATGTTTTACTCTTTAAATTTAGTCGAGACTATTAAAGTATTTTAAAGAGTAGAATTTTAGAAAACAATACAAAACCAATTGTGAAGAAAAAAATCATATTTTTTTAATACATTAAAAAAAAACATAACTACATTAATTTCTGTCCTTTTACAAAATTCGGATCCACGTCAATCAAAAATCTGATTTAAAAAAAAAAATCAAATAATTCAGCTGACTTACAGACTTCGTTTGTTGTCTGAAATGTCCATTTTTGTCGTTATCTATGCCCACCAGTGAAAGTAAAACCTTTTCTATTTCAAAATTCAAATATATTTTATACAACAGACCAAAATAATTAAATACCACTATTATTAAATTCAAATTTTAAAAGAGAGAGGGAGAGGGAAAAAAAAAAAACTAAGGATTAAAATATATATATATATAAGGTACACCCGGGTTGCTCAATTGGACAGTGACCTGGCAACATCCTCGACGACCAATCGTCAAAATAGCGCGAAATCCGACGGCGCCTGTTTTTCTCGTCTCCCAACATAATAATAAAGTTTAAATACTTTTTTCTGTATCATTTCCATGCTTCCTTTTAATTTCTATATTTTTAAAATATTTATTTTCATAATTATATTTATATTTTTTATTTATTTTACTTCATGTACTTTCAAAATATTTGTTTTAATCGTTATATTTTTTAAAAATGAATCATTTTATATAACATTTGATCATATTTTATTTTGATAAAAATTTTAACATAATACTTGATCATTTATTGAAAATTTTTAAATGTAGCTGTATATTTACATTAATGAGTTTCAATTGTACATAAAATTTGTATACAAATTTTACAAATAGGGATCAAAGGGTATTTTTACAAAAATATAGAGACTAAAATGAACAAAATATAATGACTAAAATAAATCAAAATTGAGATCAAAATATTATTTAAACCCTATAATAATAAATATTATCATATTGTATATGGTGAGAATTTGTCTAAACATGGAAGCCATAATAATTCAAACTTACGTTGAGAGAGAGGTTGAGAATGTCGTAATTAACGTGAGATAGGTTCGAAATTGCTATGTAAATTGGTCACTTTTTAACAATATTTCTATCACAATTATATAAAGTGGGAATTCAAAACCTACGATCTCTTAAAATAAATAGTGATTACTTTACCATTAAACTATGCATGAATTAACTATTTTAATTTCTTATTTAATATCTTAAAATCGTCACTTTATGATATAAATCGGAAAATGATCCTCTAGTGATTGGTAGTGCTCACTATTAGATTAAATTATTGAAAGTAAGAGAAATGCAGGGAGAAAAAACGTATCCATAAAATAAATAAATGTCAATTATTATTATTATTATTTTATTTTTTGTGTTGCTACGGTCGATAATGTATTGATTCATGGAATTTAGATTTATTTATAATTTTATAAACTTCTTTCTTTAAGAAATTGTCAATTGTTTTGCGGTGCAATATATAGGGTGAGAGATCAAACTTACCAACTCTCACAAATATATGTCAATAATTGACGATGAAATGTGTGTTAAAAAGTTTTTTTTGTTGTATTAATTTTAATTTATTGTAACTTTTATTTTAATTTATTTTTATTTTTGTCTGATTGGTAGCACTCTAGTTAAGTGGAATGAATGGCCCCTGGGGGAGGCTCGGGGGAACCTGTCCYCCGATCTCTTTCGGAAAACAAGGCGGCTCATCCCGCTCAACCGCTTACCGYTCGAGAGCGCGAGAGTGCTTCTTGCTCGAATTCTCAGGCTAGGGCCCGTCTGCAGCGGTATTACACCAACTACCACTTCTGGTTCCAGGTCCGCAACCAGAAATTTGCGCAAACCGGATTTGGCTTTACAAAGAGCATGCGTCAAAAGATGCAAACGAAATTCTTCAAATCTTCGTTTGCTTTTTCTTTTTTTTTTCTTTTTATATCTATCTTTTTGCGGCACACAATTTTATCTATCAACAATGGATTAATGAATTATTTTTCACGTTTGACTTGAACTATAAAAAGATTGATCTTAATAATATTTTCGTTATAAAAAATTATAAAATATTTATTTATAATTTAAATAAGGAAAATCGTGAGATACGAGACATTCTAATTGAAATGTCCGTAGAACTAATGAAAGACGCCAGTTGTTGCTTCGTTAAGGTTAAAATTATATGACCATTTACTATTCATGTTTGAAGCCACGTTATTCTAATTGGTGAGAGACTAACCTCGAGAACTAAGCTATGTTTGTTTAATATTCATGGACAAAATTGCATAAATAAATATATATATATATATATATATTAATGGACAAAAATATAAAATTTAAAAATTCGAATAAATATGAAATTTTATAAAAAAAAAATAGTTTTAAATTTCAAAGACCTTGGCGTATAGGAGACTAAAATAGGGTTTGAATCTAATATTTGGAAAAAAGAATTGTTAGAAGCGTGGGTTTAAAAAACAAATAGAAGTAATATTAAATAAACATAATATGTTTTAAAATAAATTGTTAAAAGGAAGATGGGTGATTATTAATCAAATTTAAAATCTGATTAAATCCCAAAAATTTGCATTAAATACCAAAAAGTAACACGTTTCAAAAAATGCCCACAAAATTCGACAATTAAAGTCAGTCCTCCCTTGCACCGCACATTACATTTATTAGCAAAAGTCTCAAAACTAATTTGTACCAAAAAAGGGGAAAAAAAAACTATAACAACTTCAATTTTATAAAGTACACATTACATTTAATTTGGGGCATTTTAATGATAATTAGCAAGTCAACAGAAGTATGAGCCCTTATATATATATATATATATAATACTAATTTTAGTTTTGATTTAGTTTCTAAAAATTAAGTTGGCTTGTAATTTATTTTTATCTTATAATTTAATTTTTAAAAATATTTTTTACACCATAACTAAAAATTCTCCACCCGTTTGCCATCTCTATGCCACTTTAACCAGAGACTTATGGCCACATTATATATATATATATATATATATATATATATATATATATTTAAATCTATAACATGTCGTCTCTCGAAGATATAACATGTAGGTCCATGGATGGAGGTTGTCTCTTAAAAAAATGTTTATCTCCCGAGAGAGGGACAGAAAATTTAAATTAGCATTATTATTAAGGGGTTTAAAATATTTTAAAAAGTAATTTTATTTTTTAAACCTCCCTAAATTTATGCTAGGGAGTGAAATTTGCGGAGTTAACTAAATTCAAATTTACACGTGAACTATTTTTATGATTTTGAAGTTAAATATACTACTTATTTATTTTTATATTTTTTTATAAATTAATTTGATTATTGTCAAGTACTTGGATGGGCTTGGCTGTTGGTTGGCCCATCCCTCTCACTTCTTAGATTCAGATTCACCATATGCCCAATTTCAAAAGTCAACCAAACTAATTATAATTAAAATTGAAATATAAAAATAAATTATAATAATTAAAGAATATATTTCTCACTTAAGTGGTATAATAATATTTCATTGATGAGGAAGACAACCACTGTCATGTGACATTAAAAGTCAAATCTGTATAATTTTCCTATACCACACAAAAATACACATCATCTCCACCCATATGCCTTAATTCTTTCTAGTCAAATCATTTTATTTAAATATTGTATAAATATATTGGTTAAAATACTATATTCTTTGATTTTTGTTTGTCTTTGTCACTATATTTTTGAAATGTCTATTTTAGTCGATCTATTTTTTTTTTGTTTCAATACTTTTAAAAAGTTGTTTTGTTCAATTCATTTTATTTTCCATCTCATTTTTTTATCACTATTTCAACACAACACTATTTCAACACAACACTCGACTCAACATATTTTTTGAAATATAATCATGACTTTATATAAAGTGTTTTACTTGTGTATAAAATTTATGTTAAAATTTTGTAAATATAGTTTAAAATAGACCAGTTTTAAAATAACATAGACTAAAATGAATGTTTTGAACGTATAAGCTAGAATGAATCAAAATAAAAGGATAAGAACAAAATGACTATTTTAAAAGTATATAGACCAGAAGGGCGGTTGAAGATCAAAATAGTACTTTAACCTAAATATATCTCTTATGTAGATAACAACTTGAGTGTAGCTTCTAATAAAGATATATATCATTGACCAAAAGGTCGGAAGTTTGAACTTCCACCCATTGAACAAAAAAAAACATATATTTAAACGATACGTGATAAGAATGCATCAACCATTTCAATTAAATTAGAATAACTTTAGCATCCAACTCTCTTTTGAAGTTGTACTAAAATAGGAAAAAAAAAAAGAAACTCTCATCGACCTATAGCAAATTATTGTTCCTTTCGAGAATATAGCTTTATTTAAAGAATGTTTTGTTTACTTTTTGTTAATGTCTTAATTGTTGAACTATACCTAGAAAAATTCATGTTTATCTAAAAAATATATCATCATTTTGTTAATAACTATAAGTTTAGAGATTAAATCTATCATTAAACTTCTAGATTATCCGAGTATAAACTAAATCAAAGTCTTCACCCATTTTAAAATATTTTTTTTAATAAAAAGGGGAATATATATATATAAAAATTTTGCATCAACCAAGTTAGAACACACACAGATATATATATATATAGAGTACACAAATAATTTTGTTAAGAAAGTATAATGAAATGTGAGAGAAAAAAATAGTTTCTTAGAAGATTGATGTTTTTCTTTATTTAAAAAAGTGAATGATGTCACTCTCGACAAAATGACCTCTTCTATAAATTATTGCCCATATGATACAAAAATGATGGATCTTTAATATAAAAGAATAGTCCACAATTCCCTCTGTGAATCCATTACAAACAACGAGATAGAGACAATAATTTGGGTGCTTGGTAATTAATGATCAACAAGAACAAAAAAGAAAGAAAGAAAAGAAGGATGGAGAATCTCAATCTGCAAAAGAAAGCAAAAACCCAAATTAAATGTAAAGCAGAGGAGCCAATTAGAAATCATAGCGTGGCAATTTCAAAATCTTGAAGATGATGGTGTCGAAATTGGGTCCGATCAAATAGCGAAAAAGCAGCCAATTCTACTCGATGCTGAGTCAACTCTAACATCTGTCATCTCCCTTTCCTTTCGTCTGCGTTCAAAACTTTGCTTTTAGAAGGATTTTGGAGTGATTTGACTCGCGAAATTGAAGAGTAGTTTCCTTTTCTCCAAAAAAAAGCCCCCCTCTTGTTCTCTGCTTCGTTTATTTTAATTCTGAGCTTTAATTTCAGCAATGATTATGGAAGGCGACAAAATGGAGACGGGATTAGAAAGGGAATGGAGCCATGTGGGCTGCTCGCGCTTTCTTAAATAAGACCCATTTGATTTTCCAATTCTAATTGCCGTTTCTCTCCAATTTTGTTTCAGGATCATCAAACCCCTCGTTCGCTGTCTTTTTGAGTAATGGTCCTGAAATTCTCTTTTGTTTTGTTGCTCCTTTTTTGGGAAGAGTCTCAAATCGTCGCCATTTAAAGGATATAATCTGGCAGAGGATACTGCTACTGCTTTTACCCCCTTTTTTTTATCTCTCTCTTTCTTAGTTTTTGCCTTTTCCCAATTTTTCTTTTCGACTTATATTAAGAAAAACTGCGATTGTGAATGGAAGAAAGTAATTCAAAAAGCAAATTCAAGAGGGTTTGCGTCTTCTGCGGCAGCAACTCCGGCCATAGAAAAGTCTTCAGTGATGCTGCTCTTGATTTGGGAAATGAACTGGTTAGTTCTCTTTCTACCGTAAACTATCGGCTCTCAGAAATTACGTTTTGCATCCATTACACTGTGCTCGATGAAGTACTTCCGATTGGAGTTTTGTCATTGATTGCTTTAGGGGATGTTCCAATTTTTTCTTCCCCGATTATTCATTGGGTAAGGTTATTACGTTCTTATTTTCGTTCCCATTTACATAGTGGTGTGGATTACAGGTGGAGAGGAAGATTGATTTGGTATACGGTGGGGGAAGTGTTGGGTTAATGGGCTTGGTATCCAAGACTGTATATGATGGAGGCTGCCATGTTCTCGGGTAGGATTGGAGGAAGAAGGATCACAATTTGGGCAGTTTTCTTTTCTGTGCCTTTCATTGATAATGCAAGAATTCAATGTAATTGAAGTGGATTTTAATGAGAATTTTTCATTTCTCTTTACATGCAGGATCATTCCAAAAGCTCTGATGCCTCATGAGGTATATGCTTGTCTGTTTCTTCATTTAAGCTAAACTAGTATTCTTTTTTTAGTGTCTCTAGACTTAGAATATGTCTCTGTTACAAGTTCTGGAAGTATGGAAAAGGAAATGATTACATTTTCTTGGTGAATTGTCTTGGATGATTTTGGTAGATTTCTGGTCAATCTGTTGGGGAGGTAAGAACAGTTTTGGACATGCATGAGCGTAAAGCTGCAATGGCTCGAGAATCAGATGCTTTTATTGCTCTTCCTGGTAATTATTTGGAGAATTCATGCCTACAACTTCCTACTTAGTTCTACATTTTTGTTCAACTCTGTAATTGCAGCATTTTGTTCTGCATATTCATTAGCATGGAGGATTATGGTTTATTTGATGTATGATTACCATTTGCATCAGGAGGGTATGGGACAATGGAGGAGCTGTTGGAAATGATAACGTGGGCCCAACTTGGTATCCACAAGAAACCGGTAATCTACACGAATTCTGTGGTTAAGTTCCTATGCAAACCAACTTTCTGTTAAGCTTTTACTGTGGGCATTTCTCCGTGCAGGTTGGCCTACTGAATGTTGATGGTTACTACAACTCTTTGTTGGCACTATTTGATAATGGTGTTGTAGAAGGTTTCATCAAGCCTGGTGCTCGAGAAATAGTGATATCTGCTCCAACAGCACAGGAACTCATGAAAAAAATGGAGGTATATGACACCCTCCATCCCAGTTTTTTGCTGAAATCATCGTAGGATAACTAAATAAATATAGAATAAAGTGAAAGGAAAGGTTAGATTCTGACTTCTAGAATTAATAAGACTATGAGTTGTGCAAACAATCTTGATATGCTTCGTATATCTTAGAGATTCTATAACGAGTAGATACTTCCACTAGAGCATACTCAATATTTCGTAATGACCTCTAAAATTGAACTAGGAGTTCTGTTCATATGGAATGGCGATGATAGATCTGGTTGCTTGCCACAAAATTTTGTTTTACCAGTAAGAAATACATAAGACTATACTATAAAAGCTGTTCCAATTCTGATTCTATAATTTTCTTTTTTTAGATAAGATGATTCTATAATTTTCTGTCCTTATATCCAGGAACACACTCCTTTCGGTGAACATGTCGCTCCCTGTGAAAGCTGGGAAATAGAGCACCTCGGCGATTATCCGAGCCAAGAAAATAAGCCATGACGGTTAAGTGGTAATAGGCCTTCCCTTGAGATTCCTGATGTCATCCATCATCATTTTTAATCATGAATGGAGGGAACTGTTGTGATGGGGCCACAAGTGGTTCATCATTGTGTACTTGCGTTCTTTGTGATTGGAATTCTAATAAATACCTCTTTCTGTTTACATAGTGCTTGGTTTGTGGTCCAATCAAAACACTAATCATATATATTGGACTGGTCACTACTTCTTAAAAGGAAAAGCAAAACAGAGTAGATAAGCATTATTAGTGCACTTTGAAGGCCTTGTCCCACAAATTTAATGTTCTAAACAATTCAAAGTTGGTTTCATCATAAAATTTTGGAAGACTACTCTTAGAAAAAACATTTTATAATGACATCAACCACCTGAAAACACCCTTATTTTAAATATACAATAGGCGCTCTATACTTCCCTTTGAGTTGATATCAGGTACCATAGTTTTTTTATTTCATTTTTTTAAAAAGGAACTTTAGTCCTTTAATTTGGGCCCAAAATCCTAATACCCGTGCATTGGGGTGCCACTGCCAGGTTGTAGTTGCAGAATTTTGGCCTGGGCTGGTAGGAAGTTTAAACAAGGTACCTAACACTCCATAGAGGTCAATCTTGTAGTACATTGTAATTTACTTCATCCCCATATCAGTACTTTCTTCAGAAACAAGGATGACAACTTGGAAGTTTCACTTACTGAAACAAAACGATTACGGTTTGTGACAAATTAAGTAGATTCATAAACTATATAGTTTGGGAAATAGAGTGGGGAAACTTTTGATTTGTTGAGTTATTGACTGATTATAATAGTACCTTGTAGTTCAACTTGTTTAATGGTTCATAGCCTATATTGAACTTGGGATGACAAATTTGAACGGTTCAGATACTTGAGCTGTCGTTCAGTTTGAAAATGAATGGATATGATTTGATTTCTTGTGCTCTTTTAGGACGAAAGAGAATATATCTTTTCCTTATTGTGATGTACAACTCATGTGTAATAGACACCAATGCCAAAGCCACCTCATCAATCAGGTTCTCAGATAAGACAGGATGAAAGAAAAAGAAATCAAGTCTCCTATTCCTCTGACTTCTTTTTTTCCTCCTATTGCTTCATGAGCAAATCAAGTAAATATTGCAATTCCATTTCATCTGAAACATGAAAAATTCAAATTGCCTGCAAAAAGCCATCCTTAACTTCCCATTATAAGGGATACCCAGATGGCTATACAAAGGCAATGAAAAGTAGCTGGTCCCAAAATTATAGGAAACCCAATGCTCTGTCACCTCTGGAAATCCAGTTCATTATAAGTTAGCTTTATTTGACAAGTTTGGCCTCAAGTCAGTGTGCCAAAGTGTCACATGGGTTCCTCAGGTTATCATCCATTCCCGCTGCAGGTGTAGGGTTCTTATGTTGTGGGCATCTTTCTAGTAGTCCAACGACGAAATTTTGCCATCAATCACATTGGCTGGTTGCGGTTGGAAGAATCATAAACTAGGAATTTAGAGCAGAAAGCTTGGAAAAGAAGTGTTATTATTGAATGCTGCATTTGTTTGCATTCCGCAGTTGTTATTTTCTTCTCTCTTTTATAATTTTTAAGAGTTGTTGCCATTGCCAACGCAAAGTAGTCAGTCGAGGAAACGACATAAGGGGCCTGCATAGAGTGGGTGATTTGGGTGTTAATTCCTCCCTTTGTCAGGGACCCTTTATTTGTGCAATGAGTCCCCACAGCCTATAGAAATGCCTGCTGCTGTGGAAGACATGTTTTTATGCAATAATGGAGATGACAAACAGCTGAGGTCATCAGATTATGGATCCATCTCCCTCAACTTTGTCCTTGTAAAATACACATGTTTCTGTTTTTTTCCTTTTCTTTCTTTCATCTGTGTTCTTATGAAATACATGCTGAATGTTATTACTTCTTGGGTGTCTGAATTAATGTGATCCAAGTGGAAGAGAGAACTGGAAAGTTAATTGGTTGAGACTGTTCTCATTATGAAGTTGAAGAAATTGCAGGAACAGCAGAGGGAGAGGAGGAAATTTCCAAGAGGTTTTTGGTGTATTCCAATTGTCTATATTCTCTTGGTTAAGATTCCTCTCAAGGTGTGAGTTTGAAAAGTAAAAAACTCTAATTTTTCTATTCATTTTATTATTATTATTTTTTTATATTTTGGTGAGTAGTGCATTTTTTTCTTCAACGATGTTGACGCTCTTTTATATGTTGTGTCATTATTGGCTCAAGGATGTCTCCAAGTGCGGCCCCATAATTGCAGATTTATTCGTAGACACTCTTTGTTTATGAAATTTTATTACTTTTAAATTTGTTGGAAGGTCTTTAAATTGTTTTTTGTTTTGACTTTATTAAACTAAACTTGAAATAATAAAAATTAGATAAATTTTGGTCTGAATACTGTGTTTATATTTTCAATTTTGGTTCATTAAAGTTGTTGCATTTTAAAAAATTTTCATTTTGATTTTTGTATTTTTAACTTTTGTTTATTTTAGTTATTTTACATTCAAAAACGTCGGCCTTGGTTCCCATATTTTTAAAACGTGATCATTTTAATTCCTATTTGCAAAATTTTGATACAAATTTTATTCACAAGGAAGAAACTTTAATATAAATTTATAACTACATATCAAGAAATTTAGCGGGTGAAATGTCATATAAAAACTAAAGTTGAAAACCTATGAAAAAGATATTTTGAAGTAAAGAGATTAAAATGAACTAAAATCAAAAGAGTATTTATTTTGTTGTATTATTATTTCATGTAAAAGTTAAGATATTTGAAGGCTTTATTTTATTTTATTTTATTTATCATTATTAAACCGAGAAAACTATAAAAATCTTCCACTGCATACTTGTCGACCTTATTTTAACCAAAAAAAAAAAAGAAAATCGATAACAATAGGATCCTATTTAGATTGAAATTATGCTGTCTTAACCTTCGCAACATATTTCAAGTAATTAAGACTAGAGGGCAATAAAAAATTTTTATGGATCGCATGGTAAATACCTTATTTTAAATTTGGGGTGTTCAATAATTTTCATAAGATTTATTTTTCTAAAAAAAATTCATAAGATTTCATACATTACAATAACTTGTCTCCCCCATTACAATTGAAAACAGGTAACTAAATGATTAACAGACTAAAAATTTTACTCCTTTTTAATAATAAAACTGTGAGAAAATGACCTAAACAACCTGGATGTGTCGATGATTAAAAAATGTTTGCAAGTTAGATTAGGTCTATTATCTAATCATAGACATTTAAATTGGACAAATTTACGATGAAAAAGTCTTTTTAACTCGACACACGAACACCTCTAATTCGCACGATGGCAGAGTACGATGCCCTCATGCAAGAACATGTAGACTGCAAACATCTCAAACGGGTACATCCTCATGAATCAATTCAGATCATCATCATCATCATCAATCTTCCAAACTTATACATTGTTACAGTAATCGGGTATTAAGAAATGGTCTTAAACATTGAAACAATCAAAGGGGATTTCACAACATATGGCGCCCCAAGTAAGAAGGTATATTTCTAAAAAATTTCACACCAAAAATACACCCATGAGAAAGTGGAGTGCATTTCCAAATTCCAACCCAGATTAGAATATGTTCATACCTGGTTCTCATCTCCCACCTCAGTATCTATACATGAACCATCTTCATGCTTCAAGAGTCAGCCTTCTCTTTTGAAGATAGCATCAAATTTTGCAATGTGGTTGTTTGAATGATAGCACTAGGGCTTGAATCTCTAAGGCGGACAGATGATCCAGTTCTATGCCCAAAGCTCCTATCAGCACCACTTCGCTTAAAACGCCGAGACAGCCAAGTAAAACGTCGGATCAATCGTGAGGAACTCACAAGCAGAATCACACCTATGATGATAAGCAGCCTGTATGGAGAAAGTCCTAAATAAATAACATTAACCCACCTGGCAAAAAATCAGTAGTAAAAGCATCCAATCGGTCTTGTTCAAAAAAAAAAAAAAAGCATCCAATCGGTCAACCTTCAACTAGCTCTGCCTTTCCAACTACTTAATGCACCAGACTATAAAATAAGTCTGGTCAGTCATCTTAAACTTGGGAAGTAATTATAATTTTTCTTTATCGATTGAAGTCAAGTGACGTGGAATATATAGAACAGATATGTATTTCTAGTTTACCATCCAAGCAGAAGGAAGAGGCGAGCAGTTGGTGATGAGGGCAATTCTTCACCCAAAGCAAGCATACCAGCAACAACACCAGTGACAATGGATGCCACAGCAGCACATGTAGATACCACAATCGCCCTCCCATGTTTTAGTCCTCGAGTCTACTAAAGAAAAGACAACTTTATTATGAATTCGAAGAACAGAGGAAAAGGCTGTCATAAGAACAATTAACATTAAATGCAGACCAATAGCATAAAGAGATCAAATCACCAAGCATTTCGAACTACCTGATAGTAAAATCCAGTAGCACTGCAACAAATACTTATCAGGATGCATATAGGAACCAGTATCTCGTGGAAGCCCTGCTCCAAGAATAGAAATCCTATCTTTGATATCACAGATGCCATCCTGCAATGGGACATTTACTTGTTGACATTGCGTTGGCATGAATCTAAGTAGCTCATTGGACTGACAAAGGTGTAAAAGACTGACAATTGTATAGGGTGCTTATGCTCAAGTTCACAAACATAATGAACACTTGGACAGTATAAAGACAACCCTAACAATGACAGAACTACTCAAAATTCCTCTCTTCATTGTGGTATCCATCTCGAATACAAAAATAAAAGCTGGCTAAATTCAATATGGGACAAACTAGGATACCACCGCAACCAGGCCTGGAGCCCAAATTCATCACAATGAAGCAAAATTCTAATTCATATTAGTCATCCTCAACCTTAATAATTGCAGGTTATGTAATTCATCAAGTAAAAAAGTGCAACCAAGAGCAGTACCCGAACAAAATGCCAGATTCCAAGCCGTATATTATTTCTTCAACAACTTCAAATTCCATCTGCAACATGTATATACATATATAAGATACTATTATTTTAGGAGGACAAGAAGGCCAGTGAAAAATCAACATAAGAGCAGTGAGTTTACCAACTCTTGTTCTCTCCTTTGACGTTTGTAGAAATGAAGCCATCCATTAAGAAGAACCTGTTAAAATATTATATGCACATGTACCCAATCATTTCTAGATGTTAGCACATTCATCTTTTACAGCTCAATTTAAAAATTACTGGCATATTATATTTATTTCTGCAAGTAAGAACATAAAACGTCTAACATAAAATGTCCTATCTAGTTAACATGGCCAGAGATTTTTATAATACATCAGGTGATGATATTATAAGATACCTACAAACAAGATGGTAATGATGAATGCCAGCCATGGTAAATGGAAGATTGATATTGCAGAGGCCTTTTGCTCCTCGCCTCCAGCACCAACCCCTAAAATGGAAAACAACGATCCAGAAAAAGACTACTATATAAAGCTAAATTAATTACAAAAAGTAGGAAGGAATACGAAGGTTCATAAAAAATTAAGATCCAAGGCCAGAGCAAATGTGAGATGCATAAAATGCACATTTAAAAAAAAAAAGAAAGGAAAAATTAGATTAAAGACACAAAAATGAACTTACATTACCTATGGTGCCAATGCCAGCAAGCGTAATCCCCATCCAATCAACGGCATTCATTATTTCCTTCAGATAAAAATGTGAAAATACAGAGAGTATGGCAAGCCCACAACCAGAAACTGGTTGAATTATAGATACCTGAAAAACAGCAATTACAAAGGAATTGCATATAACGTGGAAGAAAATCAGCACAAGATATATTGACAGAACTGTATACAACTTTCTATGACGTATGGATTCTTGGGGAAAGAGTAATCGGTAAACTGGTTTTATAGCATCAAATTATTAGACGAAACAGTTAGATTGCATGTTATTTTCATAATGATGAGAAGATATTAGAAATATGACTGCAGGAGTCACCACTTAGCCATAAAGACATGAATTGACATTTCAATTATATGGAGGAAGTTAATAGGAGCGTCGAATTCATCTGGATCTCAGAAAAAACAAAACACGCATGCAATAACTTCGAGATCCGATCGTCCATTGCCGATCAAATAACCAAAAAGAAAATGGTGAAGTGGCTGAATAAGTACTTACAGGGGCGAGGGATAGCGCTCTCAGCATTAGAACAGCTCCAAATATATCCATTAGAAAACCTATGATCCAAGTTTTGTTAAAAGCGTAAGCCTTTATCACCTATATCCACGAACAACCAAAGAAAATTCATCAACTCATTCAAGAAATGGGACATTATAGCTTGACTGCCCAAATCCCCGATCAAATTCGAAAGTAAAGACAATTTGAAAATCAGATAACCGCAACATCAACGAAATACAGACCAGCCAGCGCAGTTCAAGAAAACAAAAAAACGAATCGCATGAAATCAAATGATCCAGAAAGAAACGTCGGAGAAATCACGAAATTGGAAAGAAAATAAAGAGCAAAAGCGAGGGAAGGCGGAGAGCATGCATACCTTGAGCTTGAAAGAGAGAGGAGGAAGAATGACGGTGCCCTTCTTCTGCAGTACTTTGCCGATGTTGTTGCCGGCGGCGGCCGCCAAAGTTAAACAAATCGGTTCCCACATCTCTTCCCTGGAAGCTCGAAATCCGAGAGACACAAAAACAAACGAAAGAAACAGGAAAAAGGAAGAAGAAATCAAGAAATCGGAGGGTACGGTTATGGTTTGAGGGTGAACTTTTCGATTTACGTTAGAAATTTTTGCGCCAACGCCAACGACGGAAATTTGTCCTCTTGGATTTCGCTCTCTTGCATTTCCAACTAAACCTGGTCTGGCCACGCCCCAAGAAAGCTCACCGATCTAATCACGTGCCGATCAGATGTTCCGCAGTTCCCTACTGGCTGCGTACGTGTCAGTTCCTTATTGGCTGCTGAAGTCTGTGGTCATTTTTCTTATGTCTATATTTAAGAGTTTAATTTTAAATTACAAATTTAATTTCTATGGTTTTTTTATAACATATGAGGCGTAGATTCAAATTTACTATCTTTGATCAGAGATAAGTGTATTTTAATAATCCTGACAGATATAATGTTTTTTATTTGTCAAAGATGATCAATTAAAATTGTCAAAGATAATCAATAAAAAAAGAAATAATTTTGACAATGACAAAAGCAAACACCTCTCAAATATTATTATTTTAAATGAAAGTGATTTTGTCGATAATAAAAATAACTTTTAATATGCCAAAATCATTCCTAAATATACCTCAACTAAATAGAATTTCTATTGTTCCCTTCTTTCTAATGAGTTTTGAACTTATAGTTAGGTAAATAGAAAATGTGTTATGTATTCAATATTGTAATGTTAATGGATAATTGGTAAGTGTGATTTGTGAATTTTGATCGAATTATATGAATCAAATTGAAATTAAACCAAAATCATAGGGATCAATTTATTAATTAACCTAAAATTTATCTACATTTTAAACCCTAATGAAAGATAACAAAAATAAATATATCAATTTATTAATATGATATCGATTATTCAATTTTTGTGACGATATATGAAATGTAATGATAACTAACATGAGTTTAGTCTAATAATTAAAATAACTAATTTCTTCTTTCCAAGTTAAAGGTTCAATCTCTCATCTCATAATTATTGTACTAAGAAGATGACGTGAAAAGTTTCTTAAAAAAAAAAAAAGAAGAAATTGATTGAAAAGTAAACTGAAATTGTACTTAATCATATTTGAAGGTCAACCATATGTAAAATTTATTATATTAGATATTTTATTTTACATTCCTAAATAATGGTTTATATGTCTTGTGAAGCTTTTACCAAACATAGAAATGGTAATTAATTAAAATAAATTAAGGTAATATTAAAATATAATTTAGATTTTCTCTGGTTATTTGTGGAAATAGAAACACTTATTTTAAAAAATAATTCTTTTGCATTTTGAAATTTCAATTTTAGAGGCTACCAATGGTTGAATTTTCATTTAAATTGCCACATGAAGTATGTTTTGGTAGGGCCCTTTTGTATAAAATTATAATTATGTGTTAGGATTATAATTAGGTACAAAATGGACAGGGAAAAATGAAAATGAAAAAAAAGAAAAAAGTCTTCAACTTTTTTACCCAACTTAAAGGAAAGTGAGGCTGGTTGTTGGCAACCTTGCTTGCTATATTGGAACTGTAATAAAGGGTATTTGAGACATTGACCCAATTCATGATGTTTTAGGAGCAACTACAAATTCAACATAATTTAAGCGAAAAAAAAAACACAGAAAAAAGAGAAAGAAAAATGCAATTACAAAATTACAATAAATCATTGATCTTTTCTTATATATGTTTTTGGTAGCTATATACTTTTCACCACGCTTACGCTTGATTCATGTACTTTCAATTTTTGTTCATTTTACTTTTAAAAATTACTATTTTAGTCCATTCATTTTTATTTGTATCTCATTTATTTTGAACAAAATTTGAATTTAAAAGTATATGAATAAAATAAATGTTCTGAAACTATAGGAACCAAAATGAATATCTTGAAAATACAGGATCAAAATAAATCAAAACAAAAATGAGAGGACAAAAGTAGTGCTTAAACTTTTTTTTCTTTTTTTAATTAAAACTTTGGTGGAGAAATTTAAAAATTCACCAATGGAGTTAACAAGTCATCTCTATTAACCAAAATCACTCCTCTAGCTGCAACGCTGTCTTCTCAAACTAAAAAGGAAAAAAAAAAATCTTCTCTTCTTATTCATAATCTAGAATTAAAAGAAAACAAGATTTTTCGTCCAAAATTTTGATTTGGGTTAAAAATTTCAGCTCCACGGCTATTGAAACCAATACTATTAGATTTAATATGCAAGATATCTATAGGTCTCAATTTACAAAGTTTACTCATATTAATTTAACTCGACCCGTTAAAGCATATATCTTGATTACGATTAAATGACAAAAACTTTTCAAATTTGCAAATTTCCACTTGTCTAATCCATTGGAAGCCAACCGTTTTTTCTTCTTCCAAACAGTAAATCACTCGTAAAGTAGACCATTATTGACAATTTTGAATTATTTTGAAATGCATCCAATAAAATAAATGAAAAAAAAGCAGTAAATTTCCCCAAACTCATTACAATTTACAAACACGCCACCAAGAATCAATCCTAAAAGTCAGCCAAGCACTACGAAACGCAAAGAAGAGGAAAATCCCAACGAAAAAAAACCACAATCTCATTCCTTCACCAATTCCGGGCCCAACAATTTTCCCTCATTCCCCATTCCCCAGTGTTGCCTTCTTCAAATTCCCCCTATGAAACCTCCCCTTTCCCTCTAGCTCGATTCATCAATCCCCCGAACCACATGGAAGATTACAGGTCATATGGAAATGGGTTCAGTGGAGACGCCAATACAGAGGGCAACTATGCCGCAAAGCCTCGGAACTCCTACGATTTGAGGTCGTATTCTGCTTCCTATGCACAAACCCAGATGGAAATCAAGGAATCGCAGTTCAAGAAAGCGAAAACCCCATCTGGGTCTGTCTCTAAATCATGGAGTTTCGCGGACCCTGAATTCCAGAGGAAGAAGAGGGTTGCTAACTATAAAATGTATTCTGTGGAAGGCAAGATGAAGGGTTCTTTCAGGAACAGTTTCAGATGGCTGAAGCGCAAATGCGAACAGGTCGTTTATGGCTGGTGGTGATTGGTTTCGGATTTGGCTAATCTTCTTCAAGTGCTTTCTTGTAAGTATGTGCAAAAAGTTTCTTCAGTTGTATTTACAAGAAACTCTGAAATCAATGGTATCATAGTTCTTGATGATGCTTTCTGTTTGAAGAAAGAGGAGGTTGAACAATTAGAATTTATTGGATTGGATTCTATGTATGGTTTTTTTTCCCCTTTTTTTGGTCAAGAATTGAATCTTCTTGGCGGCTGTAACTGTTGAAGTGTAGTAATGAAATGAATCTTCCATTTATATCTTTATCTACTTTTGCAATGTGTGGCTCTTTTGAAAATTTGAGATGCTGGGATTTCTTGTGGACAGAACAGAAGTGCCTTCATATCTATATCTATTGTAGCAGCCTGTTAACTGAGTTTTATAGCTTGGTGACTGGTTCACTGATTTGCATTTTAGATAAGATGCTTCTGTTTAGGATGTGAAGAGAAGGTTTTAAGAGTTTTGTTAAAAGTAAGGTCAATGTCTCAGTTATTTGGGTAGAATCCAAAACAATATTGTATATGAATATGGAGAGACTCGTTATCCTAATACTACGCATCTTGAATAAGAAATCTAAATCAGTTTCTCTCGTATCATTGTCATTGAAACATGAATGCTCGAGTTTGCTGCATTCTAGCATTCTTGAACCGATGAGCTGCAACACAGCATTATTTGAAGTTGCAGCAGATTGGCAGAGAGATCGGCCTTGCGGTTTATCAGTAACAGGTAGTATATCGTGTTCGCCGATGCAAATGAACCCCGAGCATCGGCATTTACCTAAACATGTAGCATTTTAGCCTTACATTTTGATTCAATTCATCTTTGGCATCTTGAGATTGTATGGTCACCGACTCACTGTGACTGAATCTATTCATTGGTAGTAGAAATCATTTGGGGCAGATTATTCTATTTTGGCTTGTAACTCTCTGGGCCTAGTGGTGCTGTTGTTCATCATACTGTTAACGAAGAGTATCAATATTCATGAATTTCATGTCAAAATTAATTGACAAGCAGAGAAGTAGGTCATGTATATATATATTATAAACCTTTGTAAGTCATTTTCTGTGAGATTTTCAACATGTCCTCTCAAGATCGTAGCTCTTTTGGCTTATCGATCTTGGTCGAATCTCATTTTTTGAATTGGATGCTCGTTTCAGTTTTTGAACTTTGATATATATTAATATTCATGAGGTTATATCTCAGAACAAATTGACAATGAAAAGAGTAGTCTACGTATATTATAAACTTTTGTGTCAAAGTATCATTTGCTGATAAGGAACGAAAATTCGGCCATTTTAGGGATTCAAGTTGGAAGATGATTGTGTTAAAGTTAGTATTGTTATATGTTTTAGAATAAGTATTTACAAACTCGCACTTCTAGAGAGAAGAACAATAATAGAAAATAGTTATTTAAACATGTTTTCGTATATTTTTTATTTTAAAACATAAAATTGTACTAAAACCAATTTCCAAAATAATTTTTTTCCATGGAGTGGTTGAATATTATTTTGGTTGGCATTTGGAGAATTTGTTTCAAAGTTGGTTGCTTGTTATCAAACCTAACCCCAATTCTTTCTTGCCACTAGTTGAGTCAGCCTCTACCGGCAGTTGAGCCTTGAGAGCATTATTTTGGGCTCAAATGGGCTTATTTATGGGCTGTTTTAGGCCCCATGTCCAATATGAAAGTGAAGCCCACTGCCATGTGCTCATCCTTTAGGAACGGAGAAAAAGGGATTATGAGAGAGCTTAGGACATCTTTACTTGAGGAGAGTGAAAACTAGAGATGAAAATTATTTTTCCTCATTTTTATTCTTATTGTTTACCAATTTTATTATAAGAATAAAAATAAGAATAACTCTCAATTTATGGTTGTATACGAAAAATTAATAATTATTATCATTAATTCATTTCTTCAGGAAACATCCATTTATAACCCTCTAAATATGGTACCACAATGACTTTCTCCTTTTTACTCTATGGTGTGTTTGATTAATTTAATATTGACTTTTTACAATATTGACGTTCAAACTTATTAAGACATATATCTCGACCAAGTTGAAAGTTCAAATCTTCATCTCCTATATATATATTGTTGAACTAAAAAAAGACTTTCATTCTCAAATTTACCCAACCCAATTATAAAAAAATTATTCCAATTCTACCAATAAAAAAAGGAAATTTGATTTCTCTCCACCCCATCAAGTATACGGCTTAAATCTTAGCGAGATAATGGTTGTCCACATGCATAGATGAGGTTGTGGAATTTTATATCTGTAAAAAGAAATATGGCCAAAAAGGAAAACTTTGATATATGTATATTAGAATATTACATTATTATCTATATACAATTAGATTCTATAAGCATGTCTCAATCACTAAACTATATTGGTTTAATATATTTTTATTCACCTTGTTTGGGGAAGAGAATACCCTGGACACGTGGAGGACCTCTATTGGTGCTCCAAGATGATTCATGAGTCATGCCCAGCTCGGACGGCCGAGATCATCACCACTAGCGTTGACAGATGCTAAGTATGAGGGCCGAGGTGAACCTGGCCGAGGTCCGACCTACAGGGAAGCTCGGTGGGGGCCAATGTGAGCTACTGTCAGCGGCGTGATTATCGGGTATAACCGTCGATCCCGAGATTACCGGGTGTAACCGACGGTCTCGAGATTACCGGGTGTAACCGTCGCGAGATTAGCAGGACTACCACCCATAAGTAGAGGACTTCACTCCACGATCAGGTACGATGATTTCTGACCTCGAACTAGACTGGGAATCCGACCTATACTGACTTGATCGTCGGAGTGCTCACCTTTTTGTGCAGGTCCGCCCAAGTATTCAGATCGGTCCGGAGGCCGAGTTCGAGCTGCAATCTGAAATACACTGTTGTGCATATCCTTGCATAAACACACCCTAAAAAAATTTCCAATAATACCATAGTATTTAACTCTCTTTATATCTTTCAAAAATAAAATAAATAATTAACTCTCTTTATATTAATGATAAGTTAGTTATTGGTTAAATTATGAATTTATAACATTTGAGCCTATTTTCAATTCTATTAATATGGTTTTAAAATTTTAATTTGACTACTAGGGCTTAGTTTCAATTTACTATACTTATGTTTTAAAAGTTCTAATTAATTTATTTTCCAATGGTTTAGTCAAATTTCACAAATGATTATCTTTGACACGTATTTTTTATTTACAGTGTGAGTCATGAGCTAGTATTTTTTTTATTTAGCTAACTAACATAGTTAGTTACATTAGGGTTCAAGACTAAGTAAAAAATAGGAAAAATGAGTAGGTTTTCGAATGACTAAAGAATAGTTTAATTGATGATTTATGTTGCGAGGATCAACCAAAAGACGAAATTGTATTGTAACTATAAACACTATAAAAACCAAGAGAGGCTCTTTGATAACCATTTCGTTTTTCGTTTGATTATGTTTTTCGCCTCTCTTCAAAACATATTTAAATTCTTAAAAATTTGGCCTATATTTTAAAATTTTTTATGAAAACTATATAACAAAACAAAAAAAACACATAAGTCATCACAACACTCCTAAGTTTAATTTTTAATACAGGAAATGAAAAATAAAATAGTTATTAAACATTAATGAAAATACTTGTAAACTATAGATACCAATTTAAACTTGCAATTTAACTTAATAAATGATCATTGATGATAAGTATAACATAAAAAAGAAATATATATAAAATTTATGAAGCCAGCCCGTTTGATGATACGATCAGCTATGCAGCCAATAAGTGGGCGAGAGAGCATGCAAAGGAATGCATGGTGGGCGCGGCGCGGCAGTGTCAGCGGCAGCGGCTGCCGCACCTGCCACCTCCATGGGCGCCCAGTTGCATGGCGTCAACTGTCAAAACAGGCCAGATTTTGCCTCCGCGCCGTTACTCACATCTTTGGCTTCTTCCCACCCTTTGTATTATATAATATGGAAAATATTTTGATTCGTTGATCACCCACCAATCTTAAAAAGACTAATTCACTGATCAGTGTCAATTTTTCAATGGTGATGAACATAAAAATATAATTATTAACTGTTTAACTTATAAAAGACTCCGGAATACATTCATTTTATATTAATATGTAGTAAAAAATTTATTTGTTCTCAAGAATTTGAAATCAATGTTTAAAAAAAATATAGTGACTAAAAAACACTGATTCAAACCCTTGGTAAATTTCAGCACCTAGATATTGTTCATATTATATTCTCTCTACTAAAAGACCTACACATCTCCAAAATACTCAAACTTCATCTTACTACTATCCCTCCTTAATCACCTACTTAAAAATTCTAAGTTATTCGATCTACTCTCTCTAATAATTAAGAGAGTATAGGTTCAAATCTCGTATAAATTCGTAAGAGGTGTCTATCTATCTCTATACATACCCTATATGATAATTCTTGGGACTTTCATTCAGGTGGTCCCAAAAGTTTTCAATAGGTATTTGAACTTTTGATGGGACTAAGAGCGTATACATATTCAACCAAATGACTAATCTTTTCCGTCCTCTTCTAGACGTGTTGATGTGAAAGATTGTTCGAATCCTAAATACGACGCAACCATGAGGGGATTTCAAAAACACATCTCATCTCATATCGTCTTCTAGAAAATGAAATTCGCATCTCTTTTTCCCTCTTTCTAATAGTCTAGCCTAGCTAGGCTAGAGTGTGAATTAACAAGAGAGAGAAGTTGGTTAAGTGAATTAAAGGAGAGGGAGAAGCACACCCCAACCACAGAATATGAAAAGTTTTGGACCACAAATAGAATGATTCTGCAGAAAGCAAGAGAGAACAACCCAACTCATGGCCTTCGTCATCATCAATATCATTTCATTGGTTAATGTGGTGGGGGTGGAGGCTCCCTCCAACCCAACCCAAAGCACAATCCTACTTTTTTTTTTCAAGGTTTAAATATTATTTTAATTAATTTTTATTCAATTTGGTTCGTATACGTTTAAAATGTCCATTTGGGTCCCTATACTTCCAAAAAAGTGACCATTTTGATATCTATTTGTCCACAATAGAAACCATATAATACAAATTTATGACTAAAATTTAGTGAATGAAGTATCATACTGAAGTTTGTATCAAAATGAATGAGATAAAGAAAAGAAAAAATTGAACCAAAAGTAGAAAGTAGAGGACCAGCGGAGTATTTAAAACCTTAATTTGGACTCTAAAAATGGCCCTTGTTTGGTCGCATCCCCCACGTTGTGCCCTCGCATGGGTTGTAGCCGAAAGTGCATGCGCTCAGTTCTCACAGGCAATATCAAAATCCCAATGCCAATGCAATTAGGGTTCCATAAAAGAAAATTTTTATAATTATAAAATTAAAAAGTCCCACAACCCTTCCACAACACAAGATGCCTTTCCCCTTTTGCCCTTTAATTAATTTGATTAATTACCTAATTAGCTACTCTAATATAATTAATTTGTTGACCCAAAGTGGGTATAATCTTTTTTGGAAGTTGGCTGTTGGGGAAGAATCATCATGTCCAAGCAAACCATATATTTCTCTCATTTCTTCCCACTATACCCCAAAAGGGAAACCCTACCATGAAAATTTGTCACTTTCCTATTTGGAAAAAATCCCTCCCTCTACTCTATATTCCATTAATTCTATTTTCCCTCTAAAACAAAAATCATCAAATTTTAGGAAAATAAACCCCTTCTTTGTTAGGGTATTACATCAAACACCGATGGATAATTCAAATCTACGATCTTTAAGAGGGTTTTGAGTTTGATTATTTGTATACATGGGGAATATAGTTGCATTGGTTAGGTATATTGTAAAGTAAAATAATAATAATGATAATAATGATAATGGTTGGGATCTAGAAAGAAAGCTATCTGATCAGTGATTACTAGAGCGAGACATTTTGGGTGAAACTAAAAGCAAAGTCGTGAGAACTATGTCCAAAGGTGTACTCAAGATACTTGAGTACTTGGGGTATAATCCGTTGTCCTTAACACAAGATGCAGACGGGGATCGGAGTATAATAATTAGGTTTTGTGGGGAGAAGGAATTGAAGATGCCTGTAAATTTATAATATAAAGTTATAAACCAATAATGTGGTGCAAAACATTAGGAAATATGTGTGTGTCATAATTATTATGGAAGTGAATTGATAAGGAAAAAGAGATTAAAAGAAAGAAAAGGGCATCTGAAGGTCGCAGTCGCATGGCATTAATTTGGTGCAAAATTAGTCAACTATTCTTTGCTTTATCAGATGATTGGATTAATAAATTATAAAGCATATATACTTTAAGCTGCTTTTTCCGCCGTTGCGTGGCCTTCTGTTCAAATCTTATTGGTTCATTCATTGCATCTTCCCCCTTTCAACCTTTTCTTTTTCTTAATTAAAGCTAAATCCCTCTCTTTTTCACTTAATTAATCTTCCATTTAATCTCAATTATTTCCGCATCAATCAAATTTTATATCTTCTAAAATAACTTTACCATCATTTTAAACCCATCAACCGYCGTAGTCTTACATTGGTTTGGTATATAAGTGAAGAACAACATCTCTATTATACTACGAAACTTTTTATTTATTATCATTTTTTTTTTTTGAGATCTCAAAGAAAGTCACGAAGATTTATAGTACTTAAAGTAGACAATATCATACGATTGTAGAAATATTGGAGGTTTGGGATGTCTGTAACAATAATTAATTGGTATATTTTGATAGTAATACATATTCACCGTCTTAGTGAATGTTAGTCAAGTACTTCTTCCTAATTAATTTTTGAAGGGTGGTTTTTGAAATCTTGAATTTTGCTTTTTTAATGTAATTAAAGCTTATAAAAGAAGGTTAAAATTAGTATTTTAATTGGCTAAAAGTACTTTTTAGGATATGGAGAAAAATACAGAGATATTATAATATAGTGTTATTGGGATACCCAACTTTTTTTTTTTCTCTTTTGGAGAGGGATACCCAACTTAACTGGCTAGGGTTTATCAGATTTTTGAAAATGTAGAACATCAACTAATTTGTTTGAGTATGCTAAAATTCCATAAGTTCTCTTTCTTACACGTTAAATTTCCTAATATTCTATTTTATTGAATATTGAAATTAAATGAACGAAATAAAAAAGATCAAAGTATATATTAATTAATGAGAGTGTGTCTTGGAAAACTTGTACATAAGTATATTTTGGATTGAAATATATTATTGCTTTCACTAGCTAGCTCAATTTCATCTTTAAAATAAGCTTTTCCAATTAAATCTCTACTAAAATATATAGTTGAATAATTGAATTAAAGAAGCGTGACATGACACACTCGATCAAATGACATTTTGAAAATCGTATAAACTTTCTCTTAATTTTTAAGTAATAGAGAGGTTGCGTAAGTTTCGACTTTCAAGTTGAGTCAATTAAGTTTTTAAGTTGAGCACGATCATTTCATGTAATATAAAATATTAGTTTTTATTTCTAAATCATGTCATGATTTTGGTATTCAATTTGGCAACATTGAGTAGGGACGGAATTGAACATATTTAAAACACTAAGGAATTAAATCTAAAAAAAAAAAGGAAGAAGAAGAAGCAAGCCATTGAGGAATAAATTGCTATAAATATTTTTTTAGTAACATCATTCAATTAAAAATACTACTCCTAAAATCTATCCCCAAACACATTCAAAATTGTTTCCTTTCAAAAACACTTGATATTAAGATAAAAGAGCAGCCAACATGAGCATAATTTAGCGGTAATTGACATGAACTCCTTCTCTCGAGATTGGAGGTTCAATCTCCCATGTCTTCAAATTGTTGTATTAAAAAATAATAATAATAATAAAAGAGCTAATATTAATGAAAATATGAGCTAAATAGGGTGAAGCTTCTTGGGTAATCATATAATAGTTTAATTAGAAAGCCAAATCACTTCATTTTTTTATCATAAGATCCCTTAACTCTATGTAATTAGTTATTTTATGAACGCATCATATATTGTCCCAAATATTACTTGTGCAAATTATACCTATCGTCAATCTGAGCGAGTGGTAAGGCATCTTTTCTTTTTTAAAAAAATATACCAACTATTTCATTAAAAAGTATGTGAGAAACATATACAATAAAGCGAAGGCCAAGTGAGAGTACTAAAAAAATGAAAAAGGAAGGCTCTAAGTGAGAGCACTTCGAAAAAGTGAAATGGAAGAGAGTTAACGAAAATACAAAAAGAAAGGCTAAGTGAAAACATTCCAGTTGAACGAAATGGTAGAGATATCGTAACTACTGCAAAAAATGTGGGACATAAAGGACCAATTTGACGCTATGATTTTAATTTTGATGTCCTCTCAAAGCGGTGTAAGGCACCTATTACCATTCTTTTAGATCTAGTGTGTTCCATCTCCATCCCATACTTATTATAAACTTATAAGACAACAAATATAGCCTTCAGGACTCATTTACAGTGACGAAACTTAGACGAAACTCTTTTCATCGTTGATAACCTTCAATGACGAAATTTGCTTTTGAACGACAAAATATATTTTCATCACGGAAAGCCCTTAATTTTGTAGTATTAAAAAAACATAATTTTCTAATTAAATACCCCGCGCAGAAAACCTAAATTCCTCTTTTCCTAAATACACCCAAGGAAGAGGGTCCCAAATTTTGATGTATAATTTTAGTAATCAATGGGGAAGTATGGTAACAAGGAAGAAATTGTGCTATATTTTCAAAATCTTCCAATCACAAAACTCAAAATACAAACTAAACTATTTTCAGCAACAACACAACAAATAGATTTTGCAGTGAATTCATCTAAATCAGTGCATCTAAAAACAAGAAAAACAAATCCTTGGTATAGGGAGAAAGCATGGGAGAGAGATCATGAGATTCACTGTAAAATGTAAGAGAGAGAATGGGATGGAGATTTAGAGTTACAAGAATAATGCATTGGTAACAGTAACAAAACAAACAAAAATATGGGACAGTACAGCAATAATCCTTGTTTAGATACAGACTCTTGAGATCGTTCAAGCCCAATCCTGGTCACAGTTTTGTGTTCGCAGTGTTGCTCAGCTCAAACAACAAACTTCGACCACATGGCATTGATTTCAAAAAAATCAAAAAATCCTTGTTTGGATACAGAAGAGAAGAGAGAAATCATAAAGAAAGATAAAATTTTGATACAACTCTCCCACTGTTTCTCCATACTTTTGCTGATATATCTCTGAAATTGGCATTATTAAAATAATACAGCCACATCCAATAGAAGATAAACACACATTTATTCCATACCCCATGCTGCAAAACCTCTCTTTTTTTTCCCCTTTTTTTTTGTTGTTGTTTCCCCTTTTTGAATTCTATATAAACCCCACAGTGCTTCTCCCTCTTCACACAACATCCCACATCCTCTCCCCCTCTACTTGTTCCAATTTGGTGGAACAGCTTTCTTTTGCGCTTTGGGGCCATTGGGGGGCTAATTCAATAACCCCTCAAAAAAAAAAGATGGGTTTTTTTCCTTTTTCTTTTTTCTTTTATGGGTTTGTAGAAAAATTAAATTTTTTTTATATGTTTGAAAAATTAGGGTATGGGAGGAGGTGACAGAAGAGAGTGAGCACATAAGGTACTTTCTTGCATGCTTAGGGTTCATGCTTGAAGCTTTCTGTGCTTACTCTCTATCTGTCACCCCATTTTTACCATCTCTCCCTCTATTTTTGTTTCTGCCTAAAGTTCTGATTTTTATTTACATAAGTTGTTAATTTTACTTAATTACTCTTATGGAGTTATTTTTAAAATTACCTTTGAAGAGGTTAGTTTGATATCTAAAAATTGCTCAGCAAGGGTTGCTTAGTCAGGTGGGAAATACGTTGAGGTAAATCAGAAAAGTTTGGGTACGAGGAGTCGTTAGACACCATTTCAGGATCTCGATCATTGTTTGGAAAAAACCCGCAACCCCTTGAGGTTATACTACTTTTTTTCCTTTGTTTGAGAGGTATATTATTTCTCGATTATCATAACCCTCTTCATCATGTTAATAATTTATTTCATATATTATTGTTAATTAGAGTTAGAATTAGAATTTTTTTTGGTTAATTACATGAGATCTAGTAACTTCAACTTTACAGATTTTTGCCCTAGCTAGGCACGTGGAAGAGAAGCTGAGCTGAGCTCTCACAGGTCTGAAAGATCCCATCTTTGTTTTTTTTTTTTTCTTTGTGGAAATTATCAAAATCCATCCGAGGATTTATCAATCACGTGGGTTTGTGTTTTGCAGCTGATTTTTGATGATATTAATGAAAATTTTCTGCATTTGCTTTTCTTTGATTTGTTCCATTATTTTTTTTTTCTATGGTTAATAACTTGGTTCTTATGTAAGCGTATTGGATGTAATAAAAGCACTTTAATTTCCTTCCCCCACCTCTCACAGAGCTAACTTTAAAGGACAAAGTGAACAATTTTTTAATTTGTACTATTGTTAATTAATTATTAATGGCCTAATGTGTTTGGGGTTCAAGCTGAATTATTCTAAACCGAAACGACCCGAATTGAATCGATGGATCGATCTGTGAACCGTAACTGAGAATCTCAATTCTTCGAGTTCAATCTCTGACGATGTCAATGTTTCTAAGCAGAAATATAAATGAAATGTTCCAAAATACCTGAATAAGATGGAATTTATAGTAAATAATGCTCTTAAATCTGTTCAATTAGAGAGTAAAAAAGTTGATATATATTGTTATTACAGCACTTATTCAAGAAATATTATATCCAATGCAGTGGAAACAAAAACCTGAAGTTAAAATTTGTATTGGGTTTTACATACAGCTTAAGTTCATCAACAAAATTAATTTCTTTTTCACATTTTTACTGTCATCTGCAACTTTAATATATAGTTAACAAATATAATGGTTTTTCAAAGGAAGTGATACTTGAAAATTTAGAGTTTTTTCTTTCTTTTTATAATAGATTATCTGGTTTAATTTACATATAAAAGAAGTTGCTTATTTCTCTTCACATGTAAGTATGCATTTAAATCTTATTGTTCTTTTATTATTATTAATTATTATTATGTTATTGACCCTAGAAACTTCTTCTCCAAGAGTTAAAATTTTCGCCATACAAAAATGTTTTTAATATTAAATATTTGAACTTTGTTTCAAAAAGTTGAATAATGAAATGGAAGAGAAAATAAACGAAGCCATTATTTTGAAAGAGATTCATATGTTTGATAGAGAAAGCTTAAGAAAGATACAAAAAAAGAACCCATAAGCTTCCAGAGAAAACTTGATCGGAAAAAGTATGGACTGATGCAAATAATTGATGTTTGATCCAATCTGATTTAGATTTTTGGTTCCATAAAAATATTGTTCTTCTTTGTTCTCTTCCTTTCTATAAATTTAATTTAATTTTCTCCATACAGTTTTTATTTTTTTCCAACAACATCCATGGATTAATTTTCTTTTCAGATACGATTGTCTTCTAAATTCTGAATGAAATGTTGTTTTAAGTTCAAAAATACCGATTTGCAATATGGTCATATCATTGCTCCTTTTTCCCCTTTTAGAAAAAAAAAAAAACCCTACCTTTGGTTTGGGTTATTTCTAATGAACAGTGGTAAAAAATAACTCATTCAAGGTGAACTAATTACGGGTTTCTTAATTGGATTTGTGATAATAATCTAATTCCATCCTAGCTTAATTAATAAGATAAGATGCCTAATATTGGTCAACATGAACTGGTTAAATATATATATCATCGACTCAAAAGGGGAATGTTAAATTTTCATTCTCAAAGATTGAGCTCAAAAAATAAAAATAAAAAAAATCTATAACTAAATATTTTAGAGATTGAACATCGAATCTTACACACAGTTAGAAAAAAAAAAAAAAAAGAAGAAGGAAGGAAATGGTGAGATAAGAAACTCTAAGAAATTATGTTCTAATAAGGAAATGGAAATTCTTTTTTTTTTACCCATGTAATTTAGTTTTGGATGGAGTGCATAAAACTTTAAAGATTTTACTCCATTAAATGAAACCCTAATTTCAATAATTGATTAAACAAATGCAGAGTATTTTTCGTCTGATTTTGCAACTGTTTTAGTAAATGTGGATGCTAGCTTTGTCTTGGTCGGATTTGCCACATTTTGACCTAATCTGAGGAAAGTTGATTTCACCGTCATTTAATGTTGATTTTAAGATTAAAATTAACCAACTTTAGTTATGTGCAAAAGCATTCACTGTCCTGGTAAATTTGACAGTTTTCAGTTTTCACCGTACTGGTAAATTTCATTGATCAAATTAACCTGGGATGTAGAATCATCGTCTAGTACAGATACAATATCCACTGTTCGGAAAATAAAATATCGAAATCTTGCATATTTGATTGATGAAAATATGATGATCACTTATCTAGAAGGAAGTACATGATATTCAAAGCAGTACTGGGGATGTCCCAATCTCTATCAGCGAACCAAGAACTCACAATGCTTTGGGATGACTTGGATGAGACTCCTGCGGTCCAAGAATCAGCCAGCCTAAAACCGAATTGATACGCAGATGAAACTATTGTTGGTTCGTCAACCCGACGCAAGACATGGCAAAGAATCAATGCAGACTCTGAATCTGAATCCTTACTAGAGGCGATCAGCTCTTTTGCAGTACTAAACAGTGGCAAGATAGCTTCAGGAACGTACGTGACATCGGTGCCGACGATGACATCAAAACCTCCAGGGCTGATTTTCTTGATAGCTTCAATATGGATGCTATTTCCCCACTCCAGTATCTCTGTGTTTATAACTTTGGCGAGGAAACGTTGGTCGAGATTTGAAGTTACATTTTGAGCTAATAGGTTGAGAGCTTTCGGGTCTCCATCGGTGGCAACTACACGATCAGCAGATCGAACAGCAACCATAGAACAGATGCCCCCACAGCCACACCCCAGCTCTAACACCCTCTTCCCAGCATATATAGCTGGATTTTCTGCCAGGACAGAAGCCATCAAACGAGCAGACTCCCACAGCATCAAACCAGTCGATTTGCACGTATGTTGGAACTCTCTTGAGAGAACTTTGATTTTGAAATTCCATCCTCTAACATCCACCTCAACAATCTGGAAAAAGAAAATCAAATTATTTTATACAGCTCGAATTTAGAATTAGGGGGACCAAACAAAGCGAGAAAAATACTTTGGATTATCAAGCCTTGTTTGGTATTTGTACGGGCATGCATATAACAAAAAAGATAAATAGTTTTTTTTATCAGAGAGATTTGGGGGCAGGGCAATCTTAAAATTTACACCCTTAGAATAATATAAAATTTTTTATATTCTTAGAATCTTAGGAAATTGAAATTTTTGCTCTCACATTATTATGTACTGGTATAAAATCAAAGTGTAGCATTTAACTCTATTAGTATATGAATGCAACCATTTAAAGTACATAAACACACCTCATTATCCTCAGAAGGTGAAATTCCAAACATATCTATTGCAACACCCTCAGAGAAGTCAACTTCAAACTCGTTGACAGGCCCCTCTGAATGGTTCTCCTTGGGCCTTGGCTCGATTTCAACTTGACCGAGAAAGCCTTCCCTAAGTCCAGCTTCGAGAGTTGCAAACTCTGAAAGGCTGAATACAGCTTGGACCCATCGCCTTAAATCACAAACAGCAACAGTTGCAATAAAAAAATAATAAAATATTCCTTGCCCTAAAAACTAAATTTGTAGCATAAAAGGCAAATAATCAAGTAACCGAGTTTTCAGGTCTAATAAATTGAAAATCAAACGTCACATCCAGCATTCCTTTGCGTAGGACATCACATATGCAACCAAATTATAGACAACAAGGGTGGTTATGACAATGGTTTGTCACGGTATTGAGTTTGAATATTCAATATCGCAATTCTAAGAGGTAGGCCAAATGGCCCAAGATCTCAACTGAGATCTAAAAAGTAGTGGATTTGAACCTCCCCAGGGGCTGGACCACCAAACCTGAGCAAACCACATGCAATGGGAGGGGGGATTATGCATCCACATGCTTTAAAGAGATTTCAATTACAAATTTCCAGACGGAGGGAAGAAAGCAAATTGCTTTATTGGATTTACTTCCAATCACAAAAACAAAATAACTGATAAGCTTATAAAGTTTAAGTGTCACGCCACTCTTTAAACTAATTTGAAACTTGAATAACAAGCACATCCCGCAAGAATCTAAGTTTCCAGAAATCACTAGTATTACCAAGCAAAACAGGCCCATCACCTTATGCAGGGTGGGGGCAATGACCTGTTTACAGCACTTTGAACCTGGTAATTCGAATCCACTTAAATGACTATTTGACAATTAAAAACAATTATAATGACCTAAACTGTGCACAATGAGTCATTGTAATTTTAGCCATGTTGTGAATAAGCCCTTATCAATATGAGGAAACCAAGCAATAAATTAATTAATTTGTTCATGAAAAAAGAGAGTATATGTTTACCTATTCATAATCAAATCCCTCGATCGGTTCTCAACTTGTTTGCAGCACACGTCAAGTTCTTTTACATCAAATCCATTTTCTTTAAATGTACTTGTAAGAAACTCATTAGAGAAGTAGAAAGCACGCTGACCAAAGTATAGCCATATAGATTAAAGAGTGACTAAATAGAAGAGATATTATTGTAAGCATGAAAAGATTGTAACTTACAGTCCCATCTCCTCGAACATAAAAGTTCTCACTAATCTTTTGATCTTTGCAATCAAATCTTTCCTGTTAATGGAACACCAAGAGAAAGGGCATTTGCATTATAAGTACTTATGAATCGTAAGGATAAGGAAGATAAGAATTCTATATATAGACCAACAGAAAGAAAGGGAAATGAGAGATTTTTTTTCTAGTTAAAATTTTAAACTAATATTATAAATAAATAAATAAAATGGGTAATGAAAACATAAGAAAGGGTGCTCTGACTTCCAACATGGAAATTGTCGAATTATCTAATAATTAAAACATATTATCATACTATCATTTGATCTTTGAGCAGTTTGATCTAAAAGGAAAAGATCCTTCATATATCACATAATGAGATATGGAAATTGGCATGAAACAATTCAAGCAACTTCAGAAACATGCAGAGGTGCAACTGGAAACAACCATTCAGGATTTGAAAATCATATGAATGAAAGGACAATAGCAAACTCGAGAGATTAAAGAAACATAATGTAGAAACCTGAGCAAGGTCTCCAGTCGCATAGTCACGAAAAAGAACATTTCCAGTTGGCTAAAAAGAGAAAGAGATAATTAGCTTACATTGGATTATCAGCCGTTCTTAACAAAGACACGTGAAAAAATAGAATCTTAATGAGCACCAAATTAGTTCTTACTTTCAAAACTTTTTTTACATTTTGCAACACCTGGGACATCTTCTCTGGGGAAACTGCAGACAAAACAAAAATCTGCTTAATCAGTTAGCTAACTTGAAAAAATCTTAAAAGTGAGACTAAAGCGAAAAATTAAATGACTCACAAAATGATCCAACATTAATAATTTATCAAGATACTTGAGCAAGTTAAATAACAAGAATATGTTAAATATAGAGAGTGCAAGTCTGTAATTTTCAGTAAAATACCATCATTACTACATCAATCGATGATGGAGAAACATGGTTGCTCAAATTGTCAGCAGTAAGATCACAAACAAATGCAGCAATGCGGCTCTCATTGAAGTCTTTATGTGTCTGCATAAGCAAACCAATCCATTCTGGCAACTTAAGCCACACTTATCAATACTAAATTCCAAAAGCTAATGCAACACTTGTAAGAATATGAAGGTGGTAAAACAGGAGCATGATGAAAAGGCTAAAATTATTAAGCAAAAATTTCTATCACAAAATCAGATATAAATGCCACCAAACCTTGACTAAATTCACTGCTCGTGGTGAGAAATCACATGCATGAATGAAAACATTTGGGTATGTAGCAATCAAGGGAAAAACTGTATTTCCTGCTCCACAGCCGATCTGAACAGGAAAAGTAAGTAGTCAGAGAAATTGAAAGAGTGAAGCAGTTGCTGAAACAACATCTAAAAAGGGTGTTTATAGAAACGGGATATACTAATAATCTTTGTGATCCTTATCTAACCCATCACTATATCTCAATTTCCTCGTTTCAATGAAGATAAAACAAAAAATATATATATTATGTGCAATTAATGGTTCTGCCCATCATTGAAAGATCAGCAGGAGGTGATTAGAGGAAATCTATTACAGTAAATGAAAGCCTAACGGATGGAAGAACTTATTGTGAATGACTCAAGCACTAGCTAGCACCTAAAGAAAGAATAATGAGTGTACTTTTCATTATAAAACAAGAAAAAATAGGCAACATCGAACTGAATGAGAAGAATTGACCATTTTACCTCTAAAACAACTTTTCTTTCTTCTCCCTGAGGATCCAAAAATAGCAAAACATTACGCTTGAGATCATGATGCTTCCATTAAACAAGAAACAAATGCTACAACTAAACCTCACGGTATTTTGAACTCACAGAAAAGTATTGACCCCATTCTTTGTCCAGGTAGTGTCGGTCCTTGAAAAACTAAAAAATGAAAATGGAAACAAATACCATGTTATAGCTATGCTTATACATGGCACAAGAACAAAATTGTAGATTATGAATCAATTTCAAAATTTTCTGAAGGTGAGGGAACAACATCAACTTTATACACAATGAAAAACAAAATTAGCCAATAGTTGGGTGATGAACGTTTCAAAACTCAACCCAAACAAGTATTACAGGTACCACAAATCAACGTCTAAATATATACGGTTGCTGCTTTTCCACAGTAGTAGAGGCATTAGAGTTCAAAACTAGTGTTGGTAGTTGAGTAGTTGAGCAACAATTTCCAGAGCAAGTGCAACTTACCCGGTCTTGATGCTTTTTGTAAAAGATATCCCAGTACTTCTTAGCATCTTTTTCATACTTTTCTGCGAAAATGAGAGAGAGTTAAGGTAATATGTGTGAGAATCTCGTTCAAGAGTATGAACTCGAGTATYGCGTGATGTTGGAGTACAGACGCTTGAGAGAAAGAGAAACCTCTCCAGAAAGAAGAAACTCCAGTATTAGAGGTAGAGTATATCTGAATCTTCTGAGTTCCTGATTGTTGCTCCACAGAGTGTTGTACATTTGAAGCCATATTCTCCCACAGAACTACAAGAAGAAAAACTAAAATCAGAAGAGCAACTTTAATAACGTTTTCATCATCATACATAAAGAAAAGAATCTCAAAGCAAATTCCACTCAGAATAACTTCCATGGAGCATTGAGCTACCTCTTCCAATTACAACTAAACGAGCATCAATTTGAATATTCCAAACGGAAAGCAGTGAAGGATATTCCAGAAAGAACCAAACAAACAAAGATGGGAATCAATCAAAGTTGTGAACAATAATGATTCGTCCGATGAAGTACAGCTTCGTATAGAATCAACCATAAGCCGAATATTAATGGGAATGTGTACCTGTTGAACTTCAGATCGAAGAACTGCCCGTTTAAGGAACAACGTCTTTGCCGCCAATACGCTGCACGGAGAGATACGGAGCGAAACCAGGGTTTCTGCAGAGGGTTTTGAACTAAACGCACCGTTTTGGGGGCCATTAGTAACTTGTAACCGACGGTTAACCGTCCCTGGGCAACGCAAAGCAGGAACGATTAGGAAGCATCAAAACGCACCGTACTGCGTGCCGTTGGTTACTGTCGCGCTATATTCATTTAGATCAAAAGATTTACATTTTGTTATTTCCAAAATTTTCATTCAATTTTGAAAATATTTCCTTAAAAATGATAAACGAAAAATATCAATAATTAATCCTTCCCAAACAAACACTTAAAAGGCATAGTTTTAAAAAGATAGAAATAATAAATAAAAAGTGAGTTACCAAACATGGCATAAATGTTGTACAAGTAAAAAAAAAATACCATAGAAAGGGAGAGAGAAAATAGATATTTTTCTTGGCTACACCAGCCAGTAACTAAGCAGGGTTAATGGTCACAAATTAATAATTATGCAAGTAAAGTTATGATGTATAATCATACAGCAATTTTGGGTAGATTTTGACTACCAAATCTCTTTTTGAGAAAATATTACATTAAAAATAAAAGAGAGGAAATTGAAACGTAGACAAAGGCAGATTGTTGAAAATAAAAAAAAGGAATCGGTGATGCCAAAAAAACTAAAAGTACTTACAAGTTACAGCCAAATAAAGCTATTCTAAGCTGATTCATGACATCAAATTATGTAAGATCTTATTATCTGCTTCTCTCCTTTTCGGAACTAAAATATTTTCATTGGTGAACTCTCCCTGCTTCCTCTATCGTACACTGAATGTAACTTCTGCTGAACATTTGATCCGCCTCAATCACTCATTCTAGATAATAATTACAAACAAAGGTTTAAAAGAATAGACCCCCAAAAAAAAGAGAGAAAAAATGGAGGGCTACAAAATCCAGTATAGGTTGTTGAGTTTAATTGCTCTGCGCTTCACCTTCTTCACTATGTTTTTCATTACTGTGCAAAGGGGAACTTTTCTGGTCCTGGTCCTTGTCTTCAGCATCTGGTGTAGCTCCGTTTTCCAGCGCAGGCATATCGCCATTTTCGGTTACGTTTTTCTCTTTGGCATTACTACTGACTGCTTTTGGGAGTTCTCTTGAGGAAGAGACGGTCAGCAGGCGACCAATGCCGTCGTATAAATTCTTTGCGTCTAAGATAAGCATGGCCCCGCCGGGATAACAGCGGCCGAAACAAGTGGCACAATGTGGATAAGCAACCTGCAGAAGGATGGTGCAAAATTAGATTAGGATTGTTTTAGAAGAGAAACTACGTGGATGGAATTGGCAAACAGTGCAACCAAGACAGCACACCTCTATAAATGCCCGGCAAAGCTGGAGGAACAGTCCGGATTCGTTGTCTTTAAGCATGCGAGTTGTGTTGTACCTCAATAAAGAGTCAGAAACAGCCTGCAATCCTTTTATTAATTCCTGAGCTATCACATTTTTCAAACTCAAAGGGGCACAATGGCGAAGTTCGTTCATAGCTGCCGATACACCTAATACCACCAAAAGGATATGTCACTAATAGACCGATCATATTGCAACAAAATCATCTTCTTATACAAGTTTCTTTCTTTGAGCTCAACTATGGCCTAGTAATTTGGGTATCAAACTATGTAGTAAACTATTAGTATCCCAAGGAAAAACAATAAGAAGTATGCAAGCCACATCTAAATTCTTTTATCATCATGCAGCTAAAATACTAACATGGATCAGGTTGCAAAAGCGGTGAAAAGTCGCCCTGTTTCAGATTTTATATTCTTTTATGTTCAATATGACTGCTTCCTGACAAGTTCTCTGGGAGGAAAAAATTGAAAAACCATTTCCTAATATGAAGCAAATATCTGACATACCGTTCACAAAAACAGCAAGAGGTGGATGCTCCATCAAATAAGAAGGTGGAGTCACGTCTTCCTGACTTTCCTCACCAAGAGTACTAGCCGGAAAGCCAACAGCTGGTAGCGGGACCCAACGATGGGAATCTAGAACTAACTGCAAAGGTAATAAACATGGTCAATTAGTCATGACAGTGATATTGGATTGCTGCGCAGCAACATCATCAGCCTTTCTTGGAAAAATTAAATTGGGAGATTTCAGTCTTGCATGGAAAAGCCATGCTTCAGATGTTCTTTTACCTGAAAATTATCAACTGCCGTACCCATATTTTTTGAAAATAAATTGAGAACTGCCCTGTAGAGTCAGTTAAGCCAAATTATTATAAAGAAGTAATTTTATTGACATTGAGTAAGAAAAAACATAAACCAAATATAAAAGAACTGCCTTACTCTTCAAAAAGTGGAGGAAGCAAACCACGAAAATCCATTCCAACCCAGCCAAGCCCCATAGCACAGTACTGCAAATGACACAATGAGAAATTAAAAATAAGCAGCTGGGATTCCAAGTCACTTTTGTTTGAGCCACAATATATCAAAGTTCAACATGTTGAGGACATTTTGACTTCAGTTAAGTTAAACGCTTCACTTTAAGGATCTAAATCTTATGAACTTCAGGATGTTCCCGATTTTTTTATCCTTCATTCCTTGTGGTACACTTACAGTTTTGGACTTTTGGTATGGGTTTTGGTGTTATGTTTTGGTTTCGTTCCATTTTTCTTTTCATCCCCACACAATGCAAGTACTTCCATGCTTCTAAATGAAATTGGCACCCATTGTGTGTACATATTGTTATTTCTATTGGTCTAAATGGCCACGTTAGCAGTTCAATGCATGCATCACACACAAACACAAACAAACAAGTAAAACCTGCATTAAAAGGGCAGTGAAGGGTAAATTTAGAAGTGAGGCTTTTGGCTAAATGAGTTCATATAGAAGGACATTTTTCAAAATTAAAGCAAACATTATAAAATTCATCAAATTTGATTACTTTGAATCTTTAGGACCATTATTTTGTGGTAACTTTGAAATTAGGCTTTGGAGTACATGCACAGAGGAAAACTTTGAATCTCACTCTGTTCAAAGATTCCCAGAACCAGAAGTCGATAAAAAAGTACAACTCCGTAAATCAATCAAATATTGGTCAAAGGGGACTCATCTTACCATGCACTGTTCCAATATATTTGATAGAGATCCACCTTCTGTTATCTTTGGGAGCATTATTTTGAGCGTTTTTAGATGAGAAGTAATCTGATGCATGGACCAACTAAATAGAAGCCCACTGTCATAGTTTTCTTCATTTCCTGACGTATCGTCAGCAAAGATTGCTCGATATTGGTTAACAACATCAAAAAGATGCGTCCTATGGCAATTGATCATTCCTTTCAAATACTCATAAGCATTTCTCTGGTCAAGATCTTCGAGAATTCCGGTAAGCCAAGCTTCTCGGCATCTTAAAAACTGAAAGTAGGTAAATGCAGTCCCATATAATTAATACAGCAAACTTCTTACAAATTTTCAAGACGGGAACACATAAAGCTTGATGCAGATTTGAAACAAATGATAGACTTTTACCTGTAAACGCATTTCATACTCACTAAACACTCCAATTCGACGTAAATATCCAATGATGCGGAGACATTCAGGTAACTGCAGTTTTATTTATAAAAAAATTACTATATTTTATATCAAGATTTTTATTACATGTGTTAGCATAATCATATTTCATGCAGGATACCTGAATATTTGAGCGAAGTTTCTGGAGAAGCTGAGAAAGAAGAGATTGGGTGGTCCGCCTGACTTCTGCCACCAGTGCTTGAATAACTGGTATTCTACGGGAAAAAACAGAGTCTCATCAAGATGCCTGTTACAAAGTTAGCTTCCAAAACAAAATATTACTTCGTGTGAAGGGTAACAGGAGAAAAATTTACTTAGGGTGCATGGTTGAAAGTTTTGCAACAAATGCTTCCAAGTCAAGAGCTTCATCGTAATTTCCATTTCTTACACACCTGCAGAGGGGATGGAATCCCAAAAAACCTCTTTCAGAATCTTCTAAAAATATAGCACTGGAATAATATGAAACTTAATTCACATTCATGCAATCAATGATTCTCAACCCCAGCCCATGCTTCAAATTTATATTACATGCTCTTCATTACAATTTACAATTATTATGGTATTTCATGTATAGAACAACTAACTAAAGAAAATTATAACGGAACTGGAAGCACACTAATCCATGCTAGTGGATGTCTTGACCCAAGCCCCCGTGTAGAGTAAAACTTGCCTGATCAAAATCAGCTCCATAAAGTTTATATAGTGAGTATGTATTAAGCTAAAATAGACTTGTAATGTAAAACAGAATATACCAGCTCCATTACAACTTAGTACAAAGTAAAAGAAAAGCCACATGCCAGCAATAGCTCAAAAAACATATTCTTATGAAGGTATATCGTATAAGTTAGTTGTCGGCAAAGGGAAGTGCTGCAACATATTTTCCGCTTACACTGTAACATAAACAAAAATATATGCTGATTGCAGCTTACACTGTAACATATTTTCTCGACCAAACCAGTTCAATAATCGTATATTCAATAAAACAGAACAAATGCATCAAATTAATCTGATCACATATTTGGTTAACAAAATGTAAAATTTCTAATGCATAGATCAAACGATCAAAAATACATACGTGTCCATAAGCTGAGGAATTTCAAGTAAATCAAGCAGAGTACTGTGATGTGTTAGCAATATCTGGTTCATCTTCCTCGTCTCTAGAATCTGTTCCGCAGATTCAATAAACTCTGTGCAACCCGATGTCAAATTTGGAATCTCAGATATCTATAACAGAGGAAATTAATACCTCAATATCAAATATCGTCAAACCATGTAAATTTAAGAACAGTATGATCCGTTGGTTTCACTACCTCATCTTAATAGTCATCCTCCTACCACTAATGATAATGATAATGAATTAGGGAACAACATAATCATAGTAATGACAAGACAATGATGATAATATCAACAATAATTATTATAAAACAACCATGAGAAAAGGAACATCAGAGAGTTGATCTTTTAACATTTTTAAAAAAATGGACGTGAGGGAATCCGCTTTGTATATTGTCTACCAAATCATTTGATTCTCATACAAATTCCAATGCAAAAATTGATTAATTTCCACACTATCAATAGTCATATGGCAATAACCATCTGAACATTTATCGGCATACAGTTCACTTTTCCCTTCCATTAAGATCTCGTATTACGAACATAAACGAGAGAACGGCAGGAGGACTTCAGAATTACCAGAGATTCAAGATGCTTATCAATGGAAGATACTTCCTCTCGAATTGCAAGCAACGCATCGGCAGCAGCAATGAAAGCTCGGTAGTTTCCCACTGCCACCTCCTGTATTTGCCTCCGAATTCGCTCCGCATCCACCTGAAGAAGCTCTGGTTCCTATACAGAACGACACATGTCACTAATTACAGAGTAGATACTGTTGTACTTCGCTGAAAGTCTAAACACATTCGATCGAATAACTAGAAGAAAATCGAGACATTGTTATCTCTGAGCTATATAGCAGCATTCAACCACACCATTTCCTAGTTCATCACACAACAGGCGAGAGAGATTTACAAATTACCTTGTTTAGACGATCGAGGGTGAAAGAAAGGAGCTCCGACACGTATGGCTGCTGCGCGGCGGAGGCAAGGGGAAGGATAGTCGGAGCCGTCGACGATGCCAGCTCCTCTGCATTATCGGTCTCCATTTTCCGGACCTCCGTATCGACTGGTACGACAGCCCGGATCTAGAAATTGGTGGCCGGAGAATTACGTAGACTCGCAGATCTACCGGAGAGCCGATGAGCTTCGTCCCCGCGAGTTAACGAAGCCGGTTATCGTTTTACCATTTGGATCTGAAATGACTTCAGTTTTTTGCACGACTGAGAGAGGCACACTTTTCCCACAATTTTCTTTCTTATTTGAGGGGTATTGTTGTCTATATGATCGCTTTTTAGGCTAAACTTACAAAATAAGGGCATTTATCAGAAGTCAGAGGACTAATTGTGCAAAAACTGCAGATTTTGATTATTGTTCTCTTTTCTATGGGATAAGCAAAAACGTACAGTATTTATAGTGGATTTGTCCAATGTGTTGTTAGTTTCTTTTGATTTTATTTTGTAAAATAATGTTTTAAAGTCAGTTGTAGTATTTTTATTATATTATTATCCTAGTAAAATGCGATGATTCAAGTTACTGGTATTTCACCTCACTTATGTTCAAGTTAGGATGTCGTGATATATTTATTTAATTATAATTTTTATAATACGATGTGTACGCTACAATTCTTTTTTTTAAATATATTGAAAAATTGTAAATCCCCACATGACCTCTAAATAATTGAATTAAGAGGATGATGATATTAAAATTATGTGTTATCTATAATCAAACGAAAATAAATTCATTTGTGCCACTTAACTTTGGTTGATCGTCTTTCAACTTCTGGTCTATTGATTTTTCAAGTATCACAAGTATAAGGTAGAAGAGAGAGAAAAAAAATGTTGGAGAGAGGACAAAAAACTTAGGAGGGCTTGTGCTTTTACTTAATTTTTTTTTCTTTTTAGTTCAACGAATGAAACAGTTTTGAACATTTTGACCCAAACAAAAATAGCAGATGTATTTATTTTTAAGTTATGCTTTTAATAATTTTAGTCCTACCTTATTACTTAAGTCACGTATCACTTCTTTGAGAATAATACTCACTACATATTATATTAAAGTTCCTCGAGTGAGAAATAACAAACATGGAAAGTAATATATTTGTAACATACTTTTAAACAAGTCATATAAATATAACGATAAATAGCATGTGATTAAACTACTAATCTCGTATACTAAAGATCATAACAATGTTTTCAAATATTACTCGAAATCACCCATGTGATTTTTTAAATATTGTGTCATTAAAATAAAATAACGCCGTTAGCAAAACAGTGTAATTTATCATACATTATTTTGTGCTCAAATAGTGCGTATTTAATTTGTTCACTCTATTTTAACTTTCGTTGACATGCGATCGTGATCGTGAAGAAAAATCTCAAGGCCTCCATCTCCCATATTATAATTTATATTTAATGAATGCTAGAAATAACTTACCCAATTTACACACCATTACTTCATCATATCATTAAAATATAAATAAAAAGCTTAAATTCGAATATAGATAAGTGTACGAGGTATCTAATTACCGAGGATAATTTCATGTACACCCCCAACTATTAAACACCAGGAAAAACAGTAAAAGAAAACACAAACGAGTAGATGTTCAAAGAGCAACATATCAGGCGAAAAAAGTCTGTTTAGACAAATAGTTATTAAAAATGTTTTATTTTCTTCCTACCGTTGTCAGCGTTCAAAATTTTCCCTAAAAATGTCAAAATAGCATATTTATAAAAAAATAATAATTATACCTAACAAAGTAATGTAAATTCCAACATACCTCAAACGATCCAAACAAATAAAAGAGGTGAAGAAATAACATGAACCCTAACAAATTATAAAAGAAAGCATTAATTTTTACAAACCATTCCATCACATTTTTAAAAACTAACCATCAACAAACAGTCAGCTCTAGCTTTTTAGTTTTTCTCAACGAGAGAAAACAAAATGAAACAAACATACAAAGGACAGAACGAACGTGGAAAACGGAGAGAGGGAACGCGATTTTGAACTGTAGAAATAGTAGTAAGGGTAAGAATAATCCCGAGGCCCCGCCGTCTGAGGCATCTGTCCCGAAGGCTGCGCGCCGACGAAGTAATTAGGAACCGGCGGCGGCGGACTACCCCAGTAAAAATAAGACGGAGGACCCAGCGGCGGCGGCCACGTCAGAGTCGGCAATGACCTCGGCAGAGGCGGAGGCGGCGAGTCGAGAATTGGTGGGGGTGGCGCCGTACAGATCACCGGACACGTGGAGCAATCGCTGATGCAGAGCTGGCCGCCAGACGAGGGCACGGCCATTTGAGCCTCGGACGCCGCTAAAAACAGAGCCAATGCCGCAACCCGAAGCCCCAAAAACGCCACCGTTTTGCAGCGACCCATGGAGAGAACTGAACCAAAACCCCCTTGATTTCGATTTGTGCTCTGTTTTGGGATTGTTGTTCAATGATGGGGGCACGTGAAGCGATGCAGAAAAGTGACTTTTTTCGGTGGGTTGAGTGTAAGTTGTTATGTGCCTCTTTCGGTGGTAATTGACGAGTTCAGGGCAGTGGGCCATGTACAGAAAACTGGAACCTAATTCACTTGTAGTCAAAGATTGGGCTCTGTGGAAAATGGAAATAATGGCGAAAGGAGACGGAGGGAATCCGAAGCATAAGGAAAGGTTTTAGAATCACAATGTTCAAAAACTTGGTTCTTTTGCAATACCTTTCTCCAGACACAATCCACCTTTTATGGAGATTGTGGACCAGCCTCCTTGGAATTGGACTTTACGTTAGTATTGTATTTATAAGTAGCATAGAAATTAATTAATTTCTACACAGTAAGGTAGAGGATTATTATAAGATTTTAATTCATTTCCTCTCAATTCACGTTAGTTTAAGATCAATGAGCCATCTATATTGATTTAGAGGTAAAATTTTGCCTAATTTATCAGCTTGATACAAATTTGAACTAAATAAAGATTAAGTCTCAAAATGTATATGACTTAGCATTATACATTGTACAATGTCTGGTTTGTAAGTCGTTAATTTGCTTCGGCTTGCATGCTTTTGTGTAACCTCTCCATAATCATGCATCAACAATTATCCTTTTCTCATGTTATACTTTCAACATCTCTTTTGTAGTCTCAATGGTGCAACCCAAATCACAAGAGCTTGAAGTTTCTTAATCATTGTGGTATAGAAGTCTCGAGTTGGGACCTTTTGATGAATTTAATACGAAAAATTATCGATGTCTTCTAGACGTGGATGTGGACTTGAGGTGAGCACAGATTGTTAAGAGAGCACATTAGAAAAGTGTATAGGTGGTTATATTCTGGTTGTATTAGTTACATTGAAAGTATGGTGGTTGAACTAAATGTAACTTATTCATGTATTCAATAGCTACTATAAATAGCTATCTTTGATCACTAAATGAGAAGGGGGAAAGAATCATTTCGTTTTGTGATCATTAAACTCTTTGTAATGCAAAACTTAATATGGTATCAGAGCAACTAAAAGTCTAACGACTGTTAATTCTCAATGGCCCTCTCTTCGACAGAGCAGGAATCAGGACTGAGCAACGCAACTTTGAATAATCCAACCATCAATCCTGGAAACAAAATTTCTACGGTGAAATTAACTGATGAAAATTACTTACTATGGAGGATGCAAGTACTGACTGCTTTGCAAGGACATGGATTAGAAAGATTCATTGATCCAGAGGTAACAATTCCACCGGAATTTGTTCAAACCACAGAAGAATCGTCGTCTGTCCTAACTCGAAATCCAGAATTTCTAAACTAGAAGCGCCAGGACAAACTAATTACATCATGGATTCTTGGATCCATCACTGAAGATATCCTCTCTCAAATGCTTGAATGCGAAACAACACGAGATGTTTGGGAAACGCTCAATTGTCTCTTCTCATCAAGGAACAATGCGCTTCCAAGTTATTTTAAAAAAGAAAGTCTCTATTGCAAGGAGAAATTAAGCACACCCAATATTTTAAAAGGAGTGTAAAAGGCGAACCCTTACTTCTACAGCCTACAACATTAACAGGGTTAGTAATCGGGTCGGGTAACCCGAACTCGAGAATCTATTTATATATACATATCACGAAATACAAATGGAAAATGCGCTGACCAATTTGTAAATCACAACGACGTCGTTTACTTGAAATCTCAAGGGGAAAAAAACAACCTTCGGACTTTCTCCTTCCTCCGCCGCCTTCCCCGAAGAACAATTCGACGAAGCTGAAGGTGTTGCAGCGGCGGGAGAGTTCTGAAAATTGAGTGCAAATGTCGACTGTTTATGTATTGGAGCCGCCGACGAGAGGGAAGGTCGTGTTGAATACGACGTGTGGGCCGCTCGACATCGAGCTCTGGCCTAAGGAAGCTCCAAAAGCCGTCAGAAATTTCGTCCAGCTCTGTCTCGAAGGCTACTACGATAACACCATCTTTCACCGGATCATCAAGGACTTCATTGTTCAGGCCGGCGATCCTACCGGCAGCGGCACAGGTCCGTTCCCGCTCTCTTACTTCCATCTCATTGAACGGATTGGTTCTAGGGTTTGTACGGCTTTGCATCCAACTCGAAGTGATAGGAAATCACAGTGAATTTATAGTCAACTAGGTAATTTTGTCTCGGTCTCTTTTGTAGTTGAAGAGAAATAGAAAATTTGATGTTGCTCATATGATATCGGGAATGTTTTGTTACTTTCCGGCACGTAGTCACTGATTATGCTCTCCTCAGCCGCTGTAGGAAGGTGTGTCCATGGTGCTCACGAACACTTCTATAGAGTAGTAGAAGGAGAAGTTGTTTAAGCACACTAGACTATATTGCTACGGTGTAGACAGGAAGGTGTCATGCGCAGAATTATTCCATTGTCTGAGGGAGGGTGTGAGGAAAAGAGGGATACACAGGGAACGCAAGCCAAAGAGTAACGCGTTGATGTCCAAATTTCCATTCCGACTCAGAATCTGATCTTGGATGTCGAATATTTATGATTTATTAATGCTCGTCAGTGTAATATTGCTTACTAGAAAGTTTGTTTTGGGTACTTCTAATTGTACCGTATAACTAGAGTTCTACTATGTAGGAGAATTCATGTTTATGTATCATTGTTTTTCTTATTGCCATCATTCTGCATTTGCATTCAGGTGGTGAAAGTATATATGGGGGTGTTTTCCCGGATGAATTTCACTCACGTCTTAGATTCAAGCATAGGGGCCTAGTAGCATGTGCAAATGCTGGGTCACCACATTCAAATGGAAGTCAGTTTTTTATAACCTTAGATCGATGTGATGATCTTGACAAGAAGCACACAATTTTTGGAAAGGTAAGAATGATTCTTATTGTACAACCATTTTGATATTGATTACTATTGTGATGCTGGAGTTCATTTGTTGTTGTAGGTCACTGGGGACTCTATATATAACCTAGCAAGTTTGGGTGACTTTGAAACTGACAAGGATGATCGCCCTGTGGATCCACCCAAGATAAAATCAGTTGAGGTAGGATTAGATGATTTATTTTTGAACTAGGTTGCAGTTTTGCAGTAGTTTTTACTTTTGATGCTACTTTCATGTTTCTCTAATGTTACAAGCTTCTATTATGTCTAATGAATCTTTAAGGACCYAGCTTTCTTCTGAAAATTTATTATTTTAAGGTTTTATGGAACCCATTTGACGATATTGTTCCTAGAGCACCTGCAAGGTCTGTTGTCCCATCTACTGTTGATTCTGACAACAAGGACACAAAGAAGAAAGCTGTGAAGTAAGAGTTTATACATTTTGAAATTCTCTTTTGGAATGCTGGGCTATTGTATACATGTTGTGGTCACCCCTGATTTGTGTGTCGCTGTTATGTTTGCATAATGTAGGAAACTAAATTTACTATCATTTGGAGAAGAAGCTGAAGAAGACGAGAAAGAACTGGCAGCTGTGAAGAAAAAAATTAGGAGTAGTCATGACGTGTTGGATGACCCACGTCTACTAAAGGATGAGATTCCAGGCAGTGAATTGGTAATTAAAACGACATAAAATAACAACTTTCAATTAACTTAGTTGTGAACTCTGATAAAAAAAACTTGGTTGTGAACTCTCATAGAAAAAGACATCTTAGTTGTGAACATTTGTGGCATATATAAAATATATTTCTTGGTTTCTGACAGAATATGATGAACTTTTTGAGTGCAGAACTCGTCCGAGAGTAAACGAATAAGGGATTTGCAACTATCTGTTAGAGAAGCTTTAGCATCAAAGAAACAAGAGTCTCATAGAAATCCAGATGCTGAAATTTCTAATCAATACAGTGATAGCGACGATAATGAAGCTAACTTTGATGCACGCATGAGGCAACAGATATTGAGGAAAAGAACAGAGTTGGGAGATGAACCATCTCACAACAAATCGAAAAATGGTGACCTAATCATTCTTTATACTTTGCTTCACCTTTTTTGAATCTATAGATTCTGTTTCTTATACATTCTTTATACTTTATGGAATTCATTGCTTTCAAAATAGAATAATGATCTTTTAGCCTGTTGCACATTTGTATGATGTTTCTGTTATTATTTTTCGAACAATTTAATTTCATGTGCGTCCAAATTTTAATTTAACATATTGATATGTATGGCAAAAAATTACACTAAGTAGCTTCCAGAGGAGGAAGGGGGAGGCATTTCTCGAAGTTATATTAGCAATCCCGAAATCAAAGATCTAATTTTCATAGGGTGCCTCCTTTCTTAGGTAGCTGATAATTTTTCCCTGCTTGTTGATTACAGTCAGCATTGGATGAGAAATGGAATAACACGGAGGATTTCTAGATCCATATTGTTAATAAACTAGGAGAAAGTGGATAGCCAGGGACTCATATTCACATCACCATAATGAAAATATTTTATGAAACAGTAGGTTTGCAAGATGGTGTTCTTACAGAGCCGTGCAAAGTTATTTTGATTAAAACTTTGTTATCATGTACCTTTCCTTAGCGAATATTTTCTGTAGAATACAAGTTTAGGGCTTTGATACCTCGCTGCTTAGAATAAGAATTATTCAAGTGAAAGTAACTTGAAGCTCTAAATCTGATGTGCAGGACCTTCTGTGTCAAAGAATGATAAAGGATCTACTCAAAGGTAAATATAATTTGAATTCATGTTTACTCCAATAGTTTGTTCTTTACTTTATTTAATTCTGTTGGAGTTGGTCAAGGGGAATTTTCGTATCTCCATGCCTTCACAATTTTTATTCCATGCACGAACACTTGTTTCCTACTTAAGTTGCAATAGAAGGCATGGGTTTTAGTTTGTAGCTGATGTAGTTAATACCATTGAGCTTTGTTGAATAAGGCCTTCGAGTTCTCTCATTCTGTTGGGAGATGGGCCTGGACTGATTAAGCTCTGCTGTGCTTGATCTGGAGACTATTAGTACTACCTCTTAAAAATATTATTTTGTGAAACCAAGTACTATGGGCATTTTTTTCCCACATAGATGCTACAACTGCAATCTTTACTTGTAAACAATTTAAGTATTAGACCTTGATAATTGATGTTATATTATACAGAGTGATCAGAGCTTAATTATGATCTTCATTTCATGAATTTCATTATTTCTTCTGCAAGTTAAAGAAGGTATACTTCTTTAGGGGTCACAGGTCGAAGTATGATTTGAACTAAATTTAATCATCTGGATCCGCAGTTATTGACATTGCCATTGTCTTTTAACAGGTCCAATGCTGAGAGCATTAATCGTGAGCAACCAAAGATTGAGAAGTTATCTTTGAAGAAAAAGGGAATTGGATCTGAAGCAAGAGCTGAACGAATGGCTAATGCTGACTCAGACTTGCAGTTATTGGGTGAAGCTGAAAGAGGAAGACAGCTGAAAAAATTAAAGAACAGGAGACGTCAAGGACATGAAGATGAAGTATGTTGTTCATCTGCCATACTTAGTTGTTTTTATTCCATCGTTTTTTATTTGACAAAGGAAATCACATTTTGTTTGAAATAATGTTGCTATGAGATCATGAACTTTTCACTTGAACACTAAATAATTGTGAATCCTGATAATTTTTAGTCACACTGCACCTAGTTTGCTTTGACGTGTCAGTTGTTTGAACAAAACATTATCCTTTATCTTCTTATCTGAATATGATAATTTACTAAAACTTGTAATGTTAGCTTTTGCTTTTGTTTGCCCCTATTTTTTGCAGGCTCGCTTCTTATTAAATAGTAATAATAATGATTGATTAGAACTTGAATTTTCTCGTTATAACAAATCCAGACAAAACTTCCAATATTATTGTTTTGTTGTTAGGCTTATGGTACAAAGCCACCAGGAAAAGGAAAGGATATTTGAATTTTCATATTATAAATCGTAACTTTATTAGGCTATGGCTGATAAGCTTAGATCTTAAAGCTTTCCATTTCTCCTTTCTCATTGTTGGGTTGTGGTTATGAAGCCTTATTTGGGAATGACTTTAAGATCTATTAGACGGGAAACTTTCGTTTTGCATCTTTTTCATGCATGCATATTCACGCTTTTCTACATCTTCAGTCTTTATAGCAACTAGCAAGTTAAGTATTTTACTCTTTCTTCTTTGTTTTTGTTACTTTTAGGTTCTGGCAAAACTTGCGAATTTTATGAAAGCCAGGTCTGAAAAACCAGTAATCTCCAGTGCTGAATCTTCTGGGGGTGGCAATGATGATGACATGTCAGACTGGAGATCTGTTGGGTTAAAATTCACACCAGAACCTGGCAAGGTAAGTGATCGTGAATTTCAACCCGCTTAGAAGTTTTAAAGGAGCACTTCGAATGGAATGAAAATAATTGCATAATATTGCCCTATGAGAGGAGAATATGAATATGACGTGTTATGTTTATAGTTGTCTACTATAAAGTCATTATGTCCATCCAGTCATAAATCTCGTCTCTGGTTCTGTAGTTTTAATTGTTGTTTGTTTTGTTGCAAATGGGAAAACTTTGGACTGAAATCCTTATCCAATATCCGTTACTTATTGTTGAGGCTTAATCCTTGGATCATGCAGGACCGCATGTCTCGTAATGAGGATCCAAATGACTATGTTGTGCACGACCCTCTCCTGGAGAAGGGAAAAGAGAAATTTAACAAAATGCAAGCCAAACAAAAACGACGCGAACGAGAATGGGCAGGCAAATCCCTTACTTGACTCACCCAATCAGGACTCAGGACATGGGTTCATGACTTGTGGGTTACCCATAAATGCCAGATTGACTTGGCTGGCTCCATTTTTGACTACTGAACCAGACCAAAAGCTTCAAAACTACACTTCTCTGTTCCCACGGAGACGTTGGATATTGATTCAGGTTCATTATTGACAGCCAATTGTCTAAGACACGCAAGTTTCTGAATCTGGAAAGAGAAACAGTATACGACTCTCCCTACTCACCTCACTGTATCCTTCATCTGTCTACTAATCAAATTTGTAACTTTCTTCTAATTCAGTCAAGACTTGATCGAGATAGAGGAGAAGGCTACCCCCACTTATCAAATGTAAATATTTCCAACGGCTTGAGCTTGAGATTTGTATTTGTTTGATACAAATTGCAGGGATATCCTCGAAGCTTCTTTGCAAAAACCTTAAATACTTCTAGAAGTTCAAACATAATTGAGCTGAGAACTACAAATTCTTTGGGCAGAAATAATCCAATTTCCTTTTGTTGGCAGTTTTATTCAGGGGGGAGCTTTTCAAGCATCAATATTCTGCGTGCTGTACCGCACATTCAGACTGGAAAAGTCTTCAACAATGCATTTTCTTCGGAGACCCGGTTCCGCCGTCAGACGCGCAGAGATCATCGGCCGACCATCCTGTCAGGAAATGGAAATTTACTCGTTTTGATGAACTTGGGAAATTTTTGAACGAGTTGTTTTCTTGTTTATTCAAACTTGGTTTCATTTCAATTGGTTCAGCGGGAAAGGAAATGGATTTAGCCTAACTCTATATATTATTACATTCCTTGACTAAGTCATGGACCTGTTCTTTACAGTGCTTAAATTTATCAGTTTATTTGTTACTGTTTGGGTATTGGAAATTTAGGTTTTTGGTGGGTTTTTGGGTCTCTTGTGAAATGGGTTTTTTGAGATACTGCTTGGAAAGGATTTTCTCATTTTTCACAGGTAACTTTGCATTTAGACTTTGAAGAAATGTTTAAAGGTTTCAAATAATGCAAATGAAAGCAAGTTTTCAATGTACAACTGTGGGATTTTGTTCTTGTAAATCTTTTCTTTAGAAAAACAATTTATATAAGTCACTTTTACCATGTGGAACACATTTTTCAATCTTCTGAAGTACCTCTTTAATGTTTAAATATCAACATTTCCACCAGAATCACCGTTTGCTTTACTCTGATTTTGTGTTTTCTAAGTTGGA